CTGTTAAATTTGACCCCATGTGACCCATTATGACCCTATACTAGACTATCTGCGAATTTGAACGTGTAATTGATAGGCCAATCAGAATGCCTTCTGAGTCTTGGTCCATTGCTCTCACAATAAGCTCATTTCACCAGTCATTCTCATTCTAAATGTGTGTAAATCACTTCCACCATAATAACAACTGATACTCTTCACTTATCCAGCTTAAGTCTTGGATTTTGGACAAAACATGGGTTCATTGACCGAGCAATGATGTTTTTGGCGGCTGTTCATTGTACTGTGTTTCTTCTCTTATAGCTTTTTAAATACCTGGTGCAAGAAGCCTCTAACCAATTGTAATGCCTTTGATGTTGGAAACACCTGTGCATACCAAACGAATATAGTTAGATGTTTGTTATGGTTTGACATTTTTTAAGTTATAAAAATTGCCTGTGATGATGAACTATTTGCAACTTCCATTAAAAATGTTGCCCTTTGCTTGTTTGAATTTTAGAGGCTGTCCTCAGCCATAAGAAAAGTCATCCAAAATATTTTTCAACGTTCTGATAAGTGATAATCATCAATCCTGATTTCAGGTTGTCGGAAATTGAGTTTTTGTCTCACTATTTTTGAATTTTGTGTGTACGAATTTGCTGTTTACAAGTCAAGTCGATTATAATTAAGAGCGTTTTTCCTTTCCATATTTTTTATTGTCTGATATAATTGAATTGTCTGACATCATTGCTCTTGCATGAAGATTTCATGTTGATGTATGATTTATTTTAGGTTGAAGGCCAAACTCCGGATGTTAATCTAGTTTGTTGTTCAATCCCATCGTAAACAAGTCAAGCTGAAGCGTATTGCAACAACACGAAGGCAATGAAAAGCGTCCAAGCAGAAATATTTCTAATAAGTAATATTTTAGGAGAGGTTTGCCAGTTATTTTAATCTTGGCACATCCTGTTATTGACTCTTGCAAAGGTGTGCCTTGAATTTCATCCTGTCTCTACAGCAGCAAAAACAAGTAGGCTGTTTTTATGTTCTCATTAAAGTTGGTGTTTAAACCAAAGGTTTCCTTTTTTTCGTAAAGAAAGATCTTCAGTGACAAGTGCATCCTTGTTTTCATAAAAGAAGACAGAAAAGAAAGAAATATGTTTTATTTAATGGAAAACATCCTTCACAGTCCATTGATCCTCCACCGTTTATTTCCTTTATAAAATATTAACATAATCAAACTTCCTCTCAAAATTAATCATAACATTATATTTCCAGACAGAGTTAATTGTAGGCCTATTTTTTCTTGAAAGCCCCTTCAGCCCCACCTGCCCTCTCTTAGATCCAAGTAGATCTAAAGTTAGATGGTGCATTCCTGGAGTAAGAAAATATATTATGTGTATATAGCCGATCAATCTTGCAAGATAAAATGTAATATTGTATCTGCAAAGGTTGAAGCTGAAGCTGATGATGTCATACCCAATGTTGTGATGTCACAGTTTGGTTCAGCATGTTGCAGGCATATGTTGCTTAGATTAATCCAAATAAAATACATTGTATACAAATGACATTCATTGTATCGAATGACATTGATTGTATACAAATGTATACAAGAGATTGGTTTGTAGACTGACAATACAGTGCTGTTTGTTCTCTCAGTGTTTATGAGCTGCATACCGTATTTCCATTGTGGTTGTGCTGTGTGGAACATTTGTTTGTGTATTTCCAGAATTATTGCTTTGTCATTCCAATATCAAAGTGTCCCTAATTCTCATTTGTAACTGGGAAATTGCAATTTTCATACACATCTGGACTTTACAAACTTTCTCACAATCTGCTCTTTGGATGTTTTACCATAACCAATTAAAAGTGAATTGCTCAGTTTCAATTACTGCATTATTAAGAGATTTCCAGCTGCATAAAACAAATTGGACCACAAGACGAAAAAAAAGAAACTACTATAAGTACACATTGTAAAGCCCTCACTTTATTATGCCCTAAAATATTGTATTTCAATTGTAATTATCGTACATGTATAAAACCAAGCAGAATGCAGAATTCAGTGCTTTTTCTACAGTTTCAGTTCTTTCTCCCTCAAAAAAAAGGGAAGTTGTTTTTCAACGTCGTCGAGTAAACTGGAAGACACCCACAAAGGAGATAATATGGTTTATGTGCCTTTAAATTTGGGGGCACTATGAAATGGATACTACGTCTATCAGTTGATGAACTCTGTAACCCCTGACTCACCGTACCATAACTTAACAGATTGTGCATACCTCCAGGACTATTTGGGTTATTTATGGTATATAATGGAACCCATCAATCAATTTGCTGGAATTCAGAAGATGTTTCAACCGTCAAAAGTTCTGATAAGATCTTGACACAATTTACTTACAAAAATCCATCATTTGTGTTTGTTAATAGTAACACTTTTTTGTGGGACCAAAACTGGGTCAAATAATCTAACTCCTCCTCTCCTACCCACCCTTGTCTAGTGAGGAACGGAAGTCTTGGAAATGCTTGTAAAATAGTAAAGAAAGCCAAACAGGAAAGTCTAGCAACCTGCTCAGTTTGGAAATGGGGCTCCTATGTCCACAGGGTAGACTTGTAGTAGTGACAGGTTGTTAACAGAGTTCATTAGGAAAGGCAACGTGGGTAAATATTGGCCACAAAAAAATTGGATTGGTTCAGGGCATTGTTTGTACCATGAAAAGTTGCCCATTTTTGAAGAATAGTTTTTTGACAGTATTAAGTAAACTTAATTTTAAAAAAAGAAGTGCAAATTTAAGTGTCCCAGAAGGGACATCATTCAAATGCAAGCAGTTATAAAAACAAATCTTTAATAGTTTGTATTCTTAATGCCTTGTTTTGTCAGATTGTCTTAGGACTTGATCAAACAATATCATTTGTCATTACCAGCACCTTTTTGACTTTCTCATCTGGTGTAATTTACTGCGATATTTTTTTCTTGCATACCTCAAATTCCCCACTAAACTGTCGAAGCTCACTTTCATTCCTGCATTTATAAATTTCAAAGATTTAGATTTTTTTTTGGGGGGGGGGGAGAATATAAGGCACAGAGAATCAACTGAAGCCACTTGTTATGCTAAACAACCTGAAAGATTTACTCTCATCACTCAAAAACACCAGATCCTGTTGGATAAAAATCTCCAACTAAACCACAAAATGCTTCAGGACAGAAGGTCATTCCATGACAATTATTTGTGGTCCATCAAACGTCCTTCTGTGACGTCAAACTCTAGTGGTTCCACCTATGGTGCTGTGACTGAAATGACCATATATGGGCATTCTAAATCTGTGATGTCACAATGTGTAAGTGGGTGGGTAGCAGGGGGTAGTTTGGTCTTGTTTTGGTAACCAGTCCAAGAAACCTTTGAATTCTTAAATTAATGACCAGTTCCCTGCCATCTAATGTCCTTTAACCACTGAACAAGGTTGTTTTCCCTTTCTCAATGAATCACTCTTATCTGAGTAAAAGCACTGGAAAGCTTTCCTTTTATATGTTGTTTGTAAACAGAAAGTTTAAGATGTAATTATTTGCTTTTCTGGTTCAAAGAATCTTTTCTATTAGGGAATAGAAGATGTGGGTAGATGACTAAATGACTTAATGGTCCCATCTAAACAATCTGTGACAGGGTTTCCAAGGCTGTGATACATTGAAAGGATCAGAAATGAGAGCACCAGCTTTTCCCCTTCATCCCTGTTGATATCAGCTTTAGGAGGAAAACAGGGATGGTATGCCTTTTATTGTACAAGATAATAATGTTCATGGTTCAAGTCCCTTGGATTTTCCCTACAGCTCATGAATAAAAGTGTTCCAATCCACCCTGCATGCCCCAAGACCAAGTACTTTGGAATGCTGAGAAATTCAATGCAATCGACACTGCATCCTGCAATGGTACATGTACATGATGTGGTGCTGCTTTGTGGTCAGTCTGGCACCAATTTAAAAATTCCAAGGAAAGTAATAATACGTTTCCGGCTAATTCTTAAAATAACTATAATTGGATATTGAATCAGCATGGAATGCAAGTCAAACAAACTGAGATATTTTTATGACAAGTTATCTGATATGAGTGTGTAAATAGACAGATACCCTGGGGTTAAATTTCTTCAAGACCAACTTGGTCTTGAAGAAAGATTGGATCAGTTGTATCTACAACAATTGAATTTGTTTTCTCTCAGGGAAACAAGACTGATGTTTTGACCCTTCTTGTTGTTTACAATGCAAGATTAGATTCATTCATAACAACATTCAATGTTGATGTTTGTGTACGGCCTACCTTCCACGTCCACCAAACCTACCCCCTCCATCACTATCCGCCACCCACAAACCTCCCCTCTCCCCTCTCCTGACCCCTACAAGTGTTCTCATCCACTCCTTACTACCCCCGTCCTTCTCCTCCTCCCTCCCATCCTAATCACGGTCGATTGTACTGTAAATTAATCAGCTGTAGAGGGCTCACTTCTCATAATGTGTGCATCAAGTTGTTCCTAAAAACCTTCAACTGGTAACCCACTGATGACATGTATAGCGCCCTCTTGAATGAGCTGTTTATTTTATCCACATATCAGACTTATCCAGAATAAAAGGAAGTACAGTTACAGACCATTTCTAATTTTGTAAAAACAATATTTCACTTGTTTGTAAAAATCAGAATTAAACTCATTGATTTATTTTTTCTCAGCCATTTATTTTAAAATTCCATTCTATTTGATTCATAATACACTGACTTTTAGTTACAAATACTTGTATCTAGAGCAATAATTCAAACTCATCCATGACATTGATGTGATCCACATACACTAGTCCTTCAATAAGTGGACTTTAATGATGATAAACTGAACCCCTAGTCAAGAAACAAACCTCTTACTTTCTAGTTCAGAATCTGGTATTAAAGTTTAAGCAGGTTTATCCCAACAACATTTTGTCTTGATGTGGGCACTCGAAAGATTGAAATCCTCCCTACCCTCTCCTGTCCCCCCCCCCCAAAAAAAAAAAAACGAAAAAAGAATTAAAAGAAAAGAGTCTTGTTCATGTGATAATTAAACTTCTTGCAAGTAAGGTTTGTGCATGCAAAAGTGTCATGATATATATCACTTGCTGTGTTTGCTTTTGAGGTTTTTGTAACACCTAGTATTAATACCTCTATCAAACACTCAAAATGTTACTGAGTGTCACTAATGAGATCAAAATCCAGTTTATAAGTAAAGGATAATACACGAGAAGCGCACCGTTTGTGGGTTTTTGCCCTCGGACCATTCATAACCCGGGAATACTTTTCACACTCCAAGAATTCTTTATTATTGCTCGCACAAAGGTCTTTGCACATCTCCATTACCGATAAAGTTGAGCTTAATATTGTTGCAGTTGAAATTAAAATTTTGTGTTGTTTTCATGTTGTGGATAATGCAAAAACGGAAGAAAATATCTCCATATCAATAAGACATTGTCTTTTTCAAAATGGGAAATTATGTTTATTCATTACAAAAAGACAATGATGTGACATCATTGATATTATTTAGTCAATTAGGTACATTTAAGGTGTTAATCAGTGTGAACTTGCTCTTACCTCAGTAATTATTAGTTGTCACCTCGCTTAGTAATATATACATGTAGTGATCTATTATACTTGGCTATTATGATAATGTTAGTTTAAACATTCCATCCTTTTTTCATTGTCAAAGCTTGTTGTAACAATTCTTTAGTTGTTTAAGTGGGGGAAGTTTAAACAATCATGAAATTGTTGCCAGCCCCATTTTTAAAATTATTTTTCCAGATAAGTGGTTACCACCTGCAAGGTAGTTACCAATTGCTTTCTTGGTTGATAGTGTTTAAACCAAGCTTTTGATTTTCTGTTGCTCGTTGCAACTCAATTTTCCTTTTCTCTAAGCATTCTTGGTAACCTGTGGTATTAAGCCAGTTGCATCCACTGTTGTGCCGTTGCACACAGCTTGCATAAGACACCTCACAATCTTCTATGCCAATACTAAGGTGTGTGTAGGAAGTGTAGGCACACCCATGAAAATATCCCAATGGTCCTTGAGGCAGTGGATGGGATAGAGGACTGGGTGAGTTGACTCGGATCTGTAGGGGTATTGAAAATGGTAAATTTTACTCTGTTGCCAGAAATTAAAAACTAAATGATTAAATAAAAAAATGTGATACTAAATTACTTCTAGCTTAGCTTATTTCCTTCTTTTCTTGTAAAAGTATAACTGTATAGTTATCAAAATATCATTTAGATCATCACACCTTTGACCCAACTCAAAACAAATCGCTCTCGATGCCAGCTTTTTCCAACATCTTAGGTTTATTGTTCTAAGCCTACCTCGGTACGTCCAGCCCGGCGCCTTTACATGGCTCCCAGAGAAAGTGTGTTATACATTGACTTGGTTCTTGCTAGTAAGCATAAAAAATCTTCAACTCCGTGGCTCAATGGAAAAGATCAATTTCTTTTTCTAACTTATTATAATTATGTACAGGTCATAAATTTTGGGTTTCAATCATCTTTTTCATCATGTCTCCTGATGATGAGCAGAGCATACTGTTTGAAATGTCCAGTTAAACCAATTTGCAGACCTCCCATTCATTGGTTCATCCTTTAATCTTTTTCATTGTTTACTAAAATTTAAAAATATCCTTGAAGGTTGTGATTTCATTTTAATCTCAGTGAACCAAGGAAGGTTTCTGCATTGGTTTACAGAATCAGCAATAACAGTGATTTGTGGGGGTTGGTATTCAGTCAAGCGTAAGCCGACAGGTTTGATTTAATTATGTTTATAATAATTATGATTTAGTGATGAACAACACGTCTGACAATCACTCAGGGAAATCCCAAGTCATTGTTCACCGCCACCAAATTAGAATGTTTTAATTGATTAATTGAGAGCATTCCGGGGAAATCACCAGAGCATTCCCTAATACATCATGATCACTGAACCAGATAGAAATACTTAATTAGTTTTTAAACATTATCTTCATCAATGTCTTTGTCCTGTCGGTCTTCGTCTAATATACATTATTATCGAAAGCTTGGCCATCTGTTATCTACATTGAATGTAGGTACAGTCCCCCAGTATGGTCAGCCCACTCTTCACACATGAATCCCTACCCACAACCATCCGGCTTCCTACAATGTACTTCAGCATTCAGAGAAAAAAGTGTGATAATACGTTTCAACATCAACAGTACTGTGGTGAACTGTTTTGCAGAGATGAAACTATTGTTTTAAGCCGTCTACACAGAGGGAAGATCTTCCCATTTTTAAAAACAATTTGAAATTTTTTTTAAAGAGTTTTAAATACAGCTTTTTCTTATTCGTCGGAGCAACATTCACATAAAAAGAAACTCTGTTATGCTTTCTTACCATGCAGTTGCTGCAATATTTCTTGTACATATGCTTGATTCCCTGACGTTGTGGTCTGGTTACGGACTCCCACTCTGCAACCCAGTCACACACACTTAACTGCATCTGGCCTTCAAGTACTTTACCTGCAAGGATACCAAATATATTTTTCTTTCATAAAAAGTGTGGCCTTCCTTATGAAAAGAAAAGTTTATTAATTTCAATACGACCATTATGGATTCAAAATAATTATGTTTTTCTGTAATGATGTATCTGTACTGGACTTTCCCACTGACGTCTGGAGATTGTTATCAACAAAAGAATCAGAAGAATGTTCTAAGTGTTCTATTCTATGAACAAAAATAATATTTTAAATGTATAGGCATTGACATATTTGATGTATGTACATTGGATTCACCATGATGCAGTATTTCAAGTTGTTAACTCACCTGTTATGAGATATATTTTGGTGATGATTAACTCTGGTACACCACACAGTGCCTCCATTGCTGGTGTCACAAGTTTAACTTGCCGATGTATTCCGTCCTGCACCTGGTCTTTGAACACTCTCTGTACCTGGACTTGATACTCATACTGTCCAGGCAAGCTTTCTGCTGACTGGAATGGGGATTTTCCTAACACCTTTCCTCGGAAAACTGCAAATACAAAAAGAAAGAACATGGTTCATGCTCTCCCCTGGTCGTAATAAATGCAATATGTTGTGTACATGTATTTGTTGTGTGAAAAAGCATGTGCCATCCCCCCCCCCCCCCCACCACCGAAACCCCCATCCCAACTTGCATGACCCCCTCAGACCCAGACCTTTTTACCAAATTTAATCATTCTATTGCATGGGGACATTTTTTTAGTCCAGTATATTTTTTAAAATTAACTATGATCATTTGAAAATGTGTTTTATGTTTAGATTTGGTCACTAATTTGTTGGTTTTTATTTGCAAAGAGGTGGGGTTTGGGGTGGGGGTAGGGTGGTAGTGTTCCACTATATAACTAGGACTACTCATTCGGTTATATTAAACTATAATAAAATCAGTTTTCTTCTGTTTCCTTCTGTGTGTTAACTAGTTGCTTATGCAAATTAGGCTGCTACAGTTTTTGTGTGTGTTTATGTCAGGGAGTGTTTGGTGAAGAGGGCAACAGGTGGCACACCTCTCTGTTCGTGAAGCCGTGCTCCCCTTGTTAGCTATAAGCAGGCGAGGCCAAGCCTCATTGCCATGGGCTTCTTAAGAAACTACAGTATGAAGGGGCTGAAATCTTGTTTTGAACCCTTTCTGTACAGTTGTTTCTTATTGAAAATGATAATTGTTACATAATTCAATGTGATAAAAGTTATCTCTGATCAGGTTGGAAACCAATGAGACACAGCCGCAAACTATGAAATTGATGAAAGGCGGACATGTTTTCTCATTAAGTGATTTTGGTAAGCGTTTGTCTCCTGACGACGGACAGAGTATATGCTGTCCGAAACGTTGAGTTCAACCGGTTCTTCTCAGAACCACCACATACTCACAAAAGAGATTAATTTCACATGGTGCCACCGCAAACTTACCGGTGCCTTGCAAGAATTAGTCATTAGATTGTCTTTGTGATACTTTATCCATATTAATTACTATGTAATTGAAGCTAACTCATTCACTGAGTGTACATGACTCATCAAATCAAATGAGAAACCTTAAACCTACTTACCGAAATTGGCGTCGCAATAATATTGCTGTGGATGTCTCAGTTGACAAGTACAACCTTTTACAGAGGTAACAGAGATGGTTATAATTATACTAATTGAAAGAACAGCAATTGTGTTTGAAGTTACGGTAGCCATTGCAGGAGGAAAAGACTAGAAAATGGACTAGTTCTGTCGTCGTACAAATCGGCCTCACAAAGTGATTTTGTATTCACCTTGCTAACAGTTATATAGTTTTTACCCAGCTTCCCACACTAATAAAGTCAAAAGTTTCCCAACTATTTATTTGATTTCTGCTGATATTTTTGTGATGATACTTACACCCCTCTAGCTTTTCAAGTTCAATGTTATTATCTATACATGTGCTTTTGATGCCATAGGGTGGATGTAAAGAAAACAGAACAGCAATTTGTAAGTTTGCTTCATGGGGTTTTCATTTCTGCCTGCATTTTGCCAGCAGGTGTGCCTCAGCGTGGGTTGCAAAATAGTGACGTCATGAGATATGTTGTTGCACTTGTAGTGTGTCTGAGATCTTTCTGGATTTGCGCCTCGGGTTTACAACATTCCATCAACATTGTCTTCACGTCAAAAACATTTATGATATACCGAAAAGACTCACCTGTTCCCTTATTTTGATAAGATATTGAAATTACACATTGTTTTCACTGGAAACATTGAATTTGTTCATTTGCACAAGAAAATTGTGCAAAGGACGAAGCAATAATGGTAAAGTGCTTTGCTCAAGAGCACAGCACCATGTTCCCACCGTCAGGATTCGAACCACGGCACACGAGTCGAACACCGTAACCACTGAACCACAGCACCCCACATGGAAAATTTGCATTAGGGACTGTTCTTTAATATAATATTCATTGAAGTTTATTATTCCTTTTAATGTAAAATCAAATGGAATTACAGTCACAAAAACAAACTTGTTAAGTTTCCTTTACTTTTAATAATTTATTCAGATATTTATGCAGCATATTAAACTAAAGCCATGTTGTGCTTGTGCTATACAATATAATGTTCATTTATAATCAGGCATGCAACTTTTCCTCGGATCAGCTGATTTCCTCTTTTTTCACTTCCAATGTGTGCCATTGAAAATAGAAAAACACTGTACAAAGTCTTGGAAAGATTTGAATTTCCTCTTTTTTTGTGACTTCCCAGTTGCATGGATGTTTATTGTAAGTGCTGGGTTTCATAAAAATTAATTCTTTAGGAAGAAAATTGTCAATAAAAAAAAAAATTATTGTAAGTGCTGGGTTTCATGAAAGTTAAATCTTTAGGAAGAAAATTGTCAATAAAATGTATGCTTTTATTTAAAAAAAAAAACACCAAAAAAACAGTATTAAGCAGATACACACCCAGGATCAATGTGTTTGTGCCCATTCTGTCATTATGAATGCCAAAAGAGAATACAAAAGCACTGCAATATATTGTTTACATGTAAAATTCTACATGAGTATATGAACAATCACAAAACATTATTGCAGTTTTAGTTTAAGGATTCACAATAATATTAAGGGAATAAATATTTGCTTGGCTGGTTTAAAAAAAAACACACGTATATTTAAAACCGGCTAGGGCCTGCATGTCGCATGTTTGAAACCAGCCATTGTGAGATAGCCCTCTGGCCATGTCTATATGGTAAATACATGTATGCCTCACACATGTATTGCTAAAAATCATATGGAAATGGCGCGCACAGCAAACTATGCAATGTGGTGCAGAATGCAGGAAATGTGTTTAAAAGCAGCTGGTGTTTTATCATCAGTTTAAAACCACCCACATGACAGGCTCTTGACCAACACGAATGGGTAAACTGTCTCAGGCATTTATGAATTATGTTTAAATTTATAAGATTTTGTCCAACTATGTTTTGGCAGCTAACATTTTGTTCAACAACTTATAATATAAACTTTACATTAGCGGAGATAGTTCTTGTCTAATTTGTATGAATTTTGTCAGATGAGGAATTATGTATAATATATTTTTAAGCATAGTCTTAAATGATATGGGTTTGATTAATTGACCCAAATAGACTGGAAGTCAGCCATCTTTTTTGCCATCCAGTTTCTTATGGATCTTGATTTGCATTGCTTGGTGTCTTTTAAGCCGTTTGGCCACACACTTATTGTAGCGTTTACTCTCTGTCCAGGCACACCTATTTCCTTCCATGTCTTCTTGCGGTACACACTTTGAGAACAGACTCTCACAGTCTTCAATCATAAGATGTGCAGAGCCCAGAGGATCATGGTAACAGATGTTACCAGTCACTGATGATTGGTTGTCATGGATACCAGGAATACTGTTATCTTGTTGATCAATCTGAAAAACAATATGAAATGAGAAATAACTTCTACATTGTTATCCTGTGAAGACTTTAAGGCTAAGCAGTTGGAGAACATGTATTTTACACTAAAAGAAGAAATTGTATGCAAATGGTTCTCTCACTTACCAGACAAAATCCACATCCAAGAATGTATCCAGACCTGAGTCCTATACGTTGGTCAAATGTTAAATCTTGAAATTGCTGAACCCATTCACACATACTGAAGAAAACCTCTCCCTCAAGCTCCAGACCTTCATTCAAGATGAGGGAAAACAACCAAATAAAATCTCTTTGAGTCAATTTCATATCATCACAGGTCTAGTATCTACACACTTGACAGTAGAATGTGCTCTGGAGGACTAAAACTGAGGTTCAGTACTTGTGATTAAAATTTGTGAAGCTACTGCATTTGCTAATTAATTTGTTTCCTTGAATTTGGAGTCTGAATCTTTCCCATGAAATGTTGATTTTTTCCAGGAAAATGCATTCCTACTTTGTGAAATTATCAAGAAATCTTCCGTTCATTCACCTGTCAAAATGTAAAGTTCTCCCATTGCCATCTCTGTAACTCCACATTTCCCTGCTGAACTTGATGTGATCATTTTAATCCTCTTTCCTCGGGATACGATAGATTCTGAACCTTTGAAGACCTTGGTTGCTTTGATGGTATATTCAAGAAGGCCGCCCATTGCTGAGTGTCCTGTTCCTGAAGATTGGACCGCAATAACTCGGCCCTGTATCACTGAATCAAAGAATTGTATTCAAAGTGATTCTTTAGGATTTTATCACTGTTCTCCATTTCTTTTTTCTACTGAAATACGGGTGATATTAATTCTTTATTGTTTTATAATGGTACCTTAGGGGGACATTCCCAGAGGATTGTTCACAACTTTAAGGACCCCTAACCCCAATTTTCCTTATCCTTCCCCCACGAAATCTGGTCGTTTTGGACCATAAGCAATCGATGTATCCTATTTGCGAGATTAAAATTTTGCTTCTAAATAATAGGAGTTGTGACATGAGGGAGATTGTTGTCGCCCTGAGGTATGACTTATAAGCCTTGTGGTTGCGAAGGCTTTGCATCTAGTGTTGTTAAGCAAATTAAATCTGATTATGTACAGTAACGCTAAAACAGCATTGAAATCAATGCACTCCTCAAAACATGGCTTTTTTAACCTTCTGTTTTTTAGAAAATTTACTCAGTATGATTGACATGATAAATTATAACAAGAAGAAATTCTAAACTTCATGTCAGTGAAACAAACTGCTGTTAATGCCGAAAGTTCAACTCCGATTGGATGGTGCGCAGATTGCATATGTATATCTGCATGTTTAGACATATCACATTATCAGACGTTATACAGGAGACTTGGCTCCGTCGATAACGGGTGATACTCAGACTACCACATGGCTGTTATGACGAAAAGTGTCTGCTTGCGCTCATATAGGGTAGATTAACAGGAATTAATTTTGCTTAATCTTAAAGTTATAATCGTTCTACAAGGATGGTTATGAATGTTTTATTGTTATTTTTGTTATCCATATTTGGCAGTCCTTGGGAATTGGCCAATTAGTGCTTCCAACACAACAACTTTTAATTATTTCTCAGTAATCAAGTATGATATGCAGATTTTAGCAGCCCCATCGAGTCAACAAGGAAAGGACCATTTATCGTGACATTTATACCTTCATGTTTATTAAAAAAAAATCATAATTTAAAAACCAGAGAATTTGCTCAAAGTTTGTGTGGTTCCATTCCATTCCTCCATGCTTTAATACCATTCTACACATTTGGGGGTCCCATCCCTGTTATATCCAATCTGACATCTATTTTATAATTATGATGTCCTCCATAAATGCAGTCCTCCAAGAGTGATCATGAATCGCAAACTATACCTATCCAACAAAATGAAACATTGTTTAATGTCATTCTTAATTATTCCTGAATGGCAGTTTAGAAAAAAAAAAAAAGATACCGGTACATGTACCGGTACTTGGGACAGGAAAAAATGTCACACTTTGGACCTTACGTATAGAACGACTCCGTCTCCCAAATGCTGTTTCATGAGTGACCTGCATGACTTGTACAGTGTAAGCTGGACTTGTGCACACGGTACTTTTAGAAGAATAAACCAAATAGTCTGCAGTTTCTTACCAATATCAGCACGGCAGATTTTCTCCTGTGGGTGTTTAATGGGACAACTACATTGAGCTGCTAGATTTTGTGGTTCCATCTGCCCCAACACAAGCAGCACCCCCATCCATAGCCACACACTTGTCTGGAAAACGACCTCCATCTTTGCACCTCAGCCCCTTCAAACTCTGCAATGAGTGTCTTGTTGTGAGACCACCCCTAGTCTGCCTTTGGCTCAGCAAATGTCACCATGTCAGACAGCCATCTACTGCCCAGAGACCAGGGGAGCAGTGTGATTAAACTCATGATGACAGAGACGTTGTACTCAATGGGGAGTCAATATCAGACCAGTGGGGTGGAATTTGGGTGAAGTTAAAGGGGCAGCTTAGATTCATGCCCTGTAAGCTCAAGCTTGAATTGATGGGTATTTTTAAAAAAGAAAAAGTTCCAAGTCAAAGCAACATCAACGGTGGAATAATTGTTTCCGAAAGTGGAGGTACCCAGCTTTTTCATGTTCATGTGAATTATACATTTCTGAAGTTTTCAGAATCAAAAAGTGGGGATTTCTGGCAGGGCAAATGTCTCCTCCCCCCCCCCTTGTTCTTCCCCTTAATCTGCCACCTACACTTCCAAGAACACTTACTCCGAAGAAAACTCTCAGAAATTCCATTGATATGTATTCACTGCACCCTACTTGAGGAACGTGGGGATAAACAAGCCATGCCCCCCCCCCCCCCTTAAAAAAACACATGTACGCTTTGGTTGTAATTAATTATTCTCATGCTCTTTCCATTCTACAGTTTGTGAAAGATTAATGTAATGAGAGATTACATTAAGAGGGAAAATGCCCCTACAGTGTCAAGTGAAGTTCAGTCATGCAACCCCCCCTCCCAACAGAGGCTTTGGAGGGAATCCCATTCACTCTAGAAACCAATTTTGAAACAAACAAATACAAAAACAACAAAGAAATTATATTCAGTCAATGAAATCGTGTATTAATAAAATCAGTAATAAATGTCATATTGCAGCATATTTCCTAAGAGTGTAACTGTAAAACATTATGTATTACATGATAAACATAAATGACTAATCTACATGTCTATTATCTAAATACAGAATTAACAAGCAAGTTAAAATTGCACAAAGTTAGAGAGATTTTGAGGATAAATCATAAGACATGAACAAATGTGCAAAGTTTTACAAATTATATGTAAATGTGTTTTACAAAGTTGTTTGGATATTAAACTAAGAATAGTTTACAGTAAAGAAAGTGAAGAATCAATTTTTAAATAAATCTCCAGTGCTTAATGCATATTTCACAATCAACTTTCATCATGGATGTCAAAGGCATATGTTGTAAGGAGTGGAATAAAACAGGCATTTAGGAAGAAGAGTTCATAATATCATCAATTAAATGGAATAAATATAATTCTAAATTTTGATTTACACATTAATTAAGTTACGATGTAAGTGGTGTGTTCTTTCCAAAACAAATTTGAAAGACAGAAACATCATAGCATATAAATATCTTTACAAGCTTTGATTTGTTTTCACTGCACATCACATTTTCTATTAAAAAAATCACAATCATTGGAATGTTCTTTGAACCCTGCATACTCAGGCTAAATTAATCTTGATACCAAAATCAAATTTATTTTTCATTAGGCACAAACATGCAGTATTTTTGACTACAAAAATGGAAACAGTGATTCAAATACTCTGTGTGCTTAATTTAGGACGGATTATAGACACTTTGAGTGCAAAATTGCCATAAGCTAAGACCGATCTAAAACAATTCTGTGAGACATTTGAGCTGATATGTTGACTTAGTCTCCTGCAGGGACCATTGCGAGCCTCTTTATTTCTGGCTCACAGTAACAATGGTGTGTTTTTTTCCCCTTCATTTTTTTTACATTTTGCAATGAAAAATGCATTTGTCCTTTTTTTATCAAAAAGTTCTATTTCAGATGTTAATTTTACAACGTACTCCTATATAAGAATTACATTAAATTTCTGTAGCACACGGTAAAGAAAGCAAACCTTGATTTACACACTTTAAAATTCAAGTAAAAATTAAACACACTCTTTTGTCTCACACAAGGGTGGCGGGGGGGGGGGGGGGGGCTGTGGGGGAGGCAGCACAAATATGAAAATATCAGAAATATGGATCTGGTAAGAAATATGGTTAAAAAGTTGTAAATATTTAGAGTGGTTGATTGCTCCTGCAATGTGTAAATTTCTTCACATCGAAAGTGAGTTTTCATAAAACAGTTTGCACTAATAGATGAGTATTTCGGGGAGTGTGTTTGTATTGTAGCAATTTTCATATCTATCATTTCGTACCCATGAGCAGTCTTGCTGGTTTCCACATCGGACACAACTTCTTTTCTTGTAATGTGCCTGACCCTCGCAGCTTCTGTAGTTGAAGGTGCAGGTTTTTCCGGCTGCTGACACCTTACGGCCATGAGACGCCATACGGAGTAGATCTGTAGAAATCTGAAATAACAGGAACCAGAAAAATGCAGGACATTATTTACAGTAAATAACTGTGTTTGTAAATTTACTGTGTCCTTAAAATGTGAACCGTTGACAGATGCCATGTACCCAAGCTCTATAGTGCATTCCTGTCATTTAAAAACTGCTACATGTTGGTGCAGGTTATATACCTGATAAATGAACAAATATGTACCTCAAGGTCATTTCAATTTATGAAAGTATTTTTAATTAGTCCCATAAAGTGATAGTATTTGTTTCTATACATTTGTAACAAAACTTAAATTTTTAGTAAGAATCATTCATACCTTTTTTTCTACATAAGAAAGTAGAGTCAGTAGACCTGCCTCTTTTGTTTTATGTTCAAGTATTTCTTGATCGGTTGGTACACAGATTTCTAAGTCTATTTGACTGGGCTTGAATTGAAGTTATCTTGTGTTAATTTCTCACCTCACAAGAGTTGCAGTTCTCAAGGTAGGCTCCGTTGATTAAACCTTGCTGTTGGAATGACGTCAACTTCGTCCATTTGGCATTCCACTGGCAACCATGTGATCGCAACTCACCAGTAATAAAATCTGTGTGTCCTAGAGATAAGAAATTATAGAAACAGATAAATATCTGCTTTCTCTCAGAAGAAAAGTGGTAGATTATTTGGCAAGTAGTTAAAATATTTGATAGGGACGTGCATTGACATTACAGATTCATTTTTTACTGTGCTACACTGCTACAAGGGGTGGGGGTGCTCGAGGAATGAGAAATGATACATGTGAATCTTTTCTTAGTGATATATTTTATACAATTGGGGAAGGTTGCTTTAAGAAAAGAAAGTATGGTGTTTTTTTTGTAAATAGTCAAAGCTCATTGTGGAGAGAAATATAACAAAATTGTGTGCTGAATGTAGAGTTGTGTTCCAAGTGAATTTTGAAAAAAAATCATGGTCCATGCAATGAAAGTAGATTTTTTAAAATTGAGGGCGTCGTGTTTCTTTTAATTTTTTATAACTCGATAATATTTATAAATTTCTTTGGTTTTGCATTCCCACTACTTTCACAATTGTTCCTCATAAAGACAATGCTTCTGCATCTACTTACCTGTGATAATGTAGTTGTCTCCAACATCCAGACCTGTCCGATCACACTTCTCCATCCTTCTTTGAATGATTAGGTTATCTGATGTTACAATACCGATCCCCTTGAAGACAGTGGTGATGTTCACCTCGTAATGAGCAGTGTGAATACGACCAAATAGAGGATCTCTCTCCTGTGTGAAGTGCTTAGATACAATCTTGCCTTTGATGACTGTTGGGACAATCACAAATACACCCGTTATGAGGATTTTTTTCTAATAGTTTTTGTGTCAGACAATATGTCTTTACAGTTTTAAATGACAGAGTTTGCTTCCAAAAGCTTGACATTACTACAATGGCAAAACTCAAACCAGTTTAGAATTCATCTCGATTTAAACTTACCAAATTGAGCCTCGCATACGATTTCTTGAGGATGATCTTGACAACCACAAGGGTCTTGATGAATCTGACAATCATAAGAGTCACCATACACCGTTGCCATAGGCAAGATACAGAGAACAAGTATCTTGAGATGAGGGAACATGGTGGAGGACGTTTTTCTTGGATTGCTGGTCGATGAAGATAGCTCAGGAAAACAATTCAAACTCTCTCAGTAGTGTTGGAAGTGTTCCTGTATGAAGCAGCTACTGATGTTCATTCAGTTTCTGTCTGGCCGCTCATCTGGTGTCCTTTTTATACATTCCAGAGGCTGTGTCTACATTGTATACTTGGTACAGGCTCCTCCCACTTTGTTGCTGTTCTTGATTTAGTGTGGGTGGTTGCTAAATATCCTGCATCATGTAATATTGAGTTTCTTGTGGTTGAGACACAGTGAATTTCTGAAAACCTCAACAATTCCAAAAAAACTTTGAACTAATAGTATTCTGTAATTCATAGTTCAACTGAGATTTCCATTTCCTCTTCCTGCAAATAGTAAATGTTTGGTATTTATTTCCAGGGACAATTTGTTTTCGTCTTTTGATTCAACTAAATTTCCTGCTCTTTATGGCTTCCTATCTGTTTTCTCGATAGCAGATTGTCTCTGTTTTCTCCAGTTTACAGATTTCCCTTGTGTTGGATTACAACAAAAGCATAGAATAGATTCACATTTGTTTGTTTAAAAAAGAGGGGTGGTAGAAAGAAGAGAGAGCAACTACAAAAAATATTGTTTTTGTTTAAAATGATTTCACTCTGTTTGTAAGACTTGTATTCCATCTGTGCTGTCATCACATGTCTAAACCAAACACTGATGAGGAGTTCAAATAATTTGCTGCTTGTGAGGTTATCAATTTTGAAGACCTTTTTTAAAAGATGTAGGTATTTATGTTACTTTAGCAGTCAAAAAAATGTTGTGTCTCTCCAAAAAGAAAAGAAACAGAAGAATTTCTGTGCCTGGATGCCCAGGTGTGGTTCATTGTGCCATTGAGAAAAAAACACAAAGACTGCTTTCAGATGCAACCCTTTATTGTTTGAGATGCATGCAACCTGTGATGTCATCATAAAAATCAATCATAGAATACTAATTAGTCAAGAGTGGGATGAAGTGATAATTCTTGCATGGTCAGTCATGTGTAGTGTGTTGAATGCCAGGTACAGATGGGATTATTCAAGGGGTGTTGGTACCAAATGAGATATTTGACAATTATGATAGATATCTACTATCATACGAAGGATCATGTGGGCACTTAAGGCCAATTATTGTAGGATGTGCCTTTTTTCCGAAGTTAGTCTTGTAAAAAGAGAATCCAAGGGATGGATTTAAGTGGCTAACTGCCCCCACAACTTCTTTGCATCTGACCAATGTTAATTGTCCACCTATTTCTTTAAAATATTTCCAAACTGGCTTTACAGAAATAACATCATTGATTCTAAAGTGCAGTTGTCATTGCTTACGGCCTTGATGTGTTGACTGCACATGTCAGCCAGCTCTCCCCCCCCCCCCATACAAAATGGGACTTAAACGTCCATCTTGGATTCTTCCCCTTGCATCATTTCTCCCTGGCTGATTCCGCATATTTAACAAGGTTAGCAGCAACTGAGAATCACTTCAGTTTCATCCTCTTATTCATTAAAGCGTGAGTATTATATTGGATTTTATTTTCATATTTAAAAAAATACGTACACTGTAGCACCAGAAATAATAATGACTGGAAAGCCAATTTCATAAGCTACTTTTAGGTGAAAACATTTCTGAAATTGCTCAATCTGTTTAAAAAAATAAGACAATTTAAATGCAATGACCCTAAAACCTGTTTCATAAAAAAGCAACTTATTGTGTGTTCTGACTGTTTGGAACAACAAAGAAAATGACACAGAATACTTGTTTCAACAACTGTCAACAACTGTAGTACACAATATCTTAATTAACCCTGCTTACATGTATGATTGATAAAAATCCACTTTTTTGAAAAGACGGGTCTTCAAAAGGACTTTGTTGAATATTTTTTTACTTTTAAAGGGAAAATACAACATTTGCAAACCTAAAAAAATAAAACTACCAAATCATTTTGAAATACCTTGCTGGACTGTTAGTGAATGACAGTGTAAAGCTTCCTGTAAAATCATGGCACCTGGTATACTGTCATTTTCAAGAAAAGTGGTATTTTTGTATCAATTTCCAACGCTGATCGGCCGATCAGCGTTGGAAAAAACTGGCTTTTTTTTCAAATACTGGCCCCACTTGACCATCGCACTTGTTTGCAATCGATTACAAACCTATGAACGGGTACGAGCCAGCTAGACTGGTTCCCTGACCTTACAATTCCCCAATGTATGTAAACTGCTCTGTTTCTTCTTATATGGAGTCAGGGAGCCAGACTACAGGAAAATGATTGTTTTTCTTGGTTTTTATAGCATTTTCGAACCCAAAACCTCAAAAAAGTCAGTGTAACTATATTTGCTATATATTTCCAACCCCCCAATTCCATCCATTTCTGAAAATTACAGTAAAAGCAAATGATGTATATTCCCTTTAAACTGAGGTTTTATCGATGGTGATGTTTGAAGACAATTGTGAAGACGATTCTTGAAATCGCATTTTTGAATGAAAGAGGTTTTAGGGTCATTGTGTTTAAATGGTAATATATTTTAAACGATTTGAGTAATTTTATTTTTTATCTAAACGTAGTTTATGAAATTGGCTTTCCAGTCATTATTATTTTGGTGCTATACATTTTTTTCAAATATGAAATATATTTTTTGAGGTTTGGGTTCCTCTTTTTTTGACTCACCTTGTATTTCCACTGACCACTAACAGAAACTGAAATGACCAAACAGGCTAGTTTGGGGGACAGCAATAGCTTGCCAAGACTACAGATACGCCTACACACGTATGCACGTACCAAGTATGTACAGTACATACACGAATATGCATTCATAAATCCCATGGAGACAGTGAACGGAAGTTTACCCCACACTGAGGTGACCACATTTTTAAAAATCAAATTGGAATTACCATTCTCATATTTCATAACATGACAGTAGGGGATGTCTGATAAATACAAAACACATTCTTGCCAGATTTGTAGCAGATATCGTCATGAATTTGTAAGATTTATAGACGAATTATTAAAAAAGAGTTACCGGTACACAAAAAACCCTGACAAATTGATATGACTATTTAATTTTCAAAAGTTGCTAATATCAGGGGATTACCCTAAAAGTTAAATTCTGAGTACCACAGGTGGCAAGGTAGCCAGAACTTTTCCTGTTTTCTGTGTTCACATTTTCATTGAGAAATCTGACCTAACTAACAGATGTTTTTAAGTTTGGTTGGTTTTTCCCTTTTAATAGCTGGAACTGTAAAGGAAATGAGGTTGTGAATATTTTTCTAGGAAGTCCATCCTAAATCCTATAAATTTAAGCAACTTATAAGTTTTTTTTATTGTTTTTATAGTGAAATGAATTGAAACCTATAACTGTATGTATATATCAATACATCCCACTGCAAAACCTGCCAATCAATTGTAAAATACCTGCTTGTACCCATTATTAAACCTGTTCTTTGCTTACTTCGTAAGGATAGAATGGCATAGAGGTGATGATAAAAAAATTGAGGTTCAGAAATTGCAAAGTAGTACAGATATTTTTCGTGGGAAAAACTCCTGTAACAAATCATAGAGCGCTGTTAAAAAGCTTTAAACATTTTCAAATCCCCTTTTCAGAATCTGTGTGATTGTTTCACATCAAAGGGGTTTCCTACTAAATTGACAAGTTCAGATTGTTGAGGTGACCAGGTTCACATACCAGAGAGTGGCCACATTGCTTATGGCAACACTTGGGTCTCAGGAAACGAGCCAAAATAGCCAAGATTCCATGCATTTTTGTGTGATTTTTAAAAACATACCTCTAACAATGAAATAATCAGCAATTTGTTTCACTTTCATCTAGTTTGCCATTTAAAGATCAGAATGGGCATTCCTTTTTGTGTGAGTCATGATTAAAGGTTGTTTTCAAAAGTGTCATTCAGATGAAATCTTAGCTCTCCTGCCTTAGCACTTCAAAAGAAAGGAGGGAGGGAGAAATAAGGTGGGGGGTATGAGTGTGCCATCAATATCAGACAGTAATGGGGGGGGGGGGGGCTCCAAAAGATCAAAAGAAAGGAGGGAGGGAGGAGTAAGGGGGGTATCAGTGTGCCATCAATATCAGACAGTAGTGGGGGCGGGGGCTCCCAAGGATCAAAAGAAAGGAGGGAGGGAGGAGCTGGGGGGTATCAGTGTGCCATCAATATCAGACAGTAGTGCGGGCGGGGGCTCCCAAGGATCAAAAGAAAGGAGGGAGGGAGGAGCTGGGGGGTATCAGTGTGCCATCAATATCAGACAGTAGTGGGGGCGGGGGCTCCCAAGGATCAAAAGAAAGGAGGGAGGGAGGAGTAAGGTGGGGGGTATCAGTGTGCCATCAGTATCAGACAGTAGTGGGGGCGGGGGCTCCCAAGGATCAAAAGAAAGGAGGGAGGGAGGAGCTGGGGGGTAGCTGCACACTATAATCAGTGCACTAATTCAGCCCATTTGCCTATTGCAGTTTGGTCCCCCCCCCCCTCCTGATTTCAGAACCCCTCCCCCATGTGCACAGACATAATGTGCCACTTACACTATACAATTTGAAAGGAACAGTTTTAACCATTGGGCCAATGAAAGGAAACTCATGATAAAGTAAAGACAACAAGTCAGTTTGGTGGCACCAGTTTCATAGAAGTCAGATGTCAATTATTATTATTGTTGGTATGTAGCATTCATTGTCAAGCAAAGTAGCAAGACGTTAACTTCACGACATACGTCTAGCAACTAGCAAGACTTTACTTCACTTCACTTCATACGACATAGCTTCCTTAGTCCTTAAGGTTTTTAATTAGAAGTGTGTCTAAATAAGTACAGGGTTCGAAAGGTTTGGAAAGAATTCAAGTGTCACAAGAGGGCGCTGTGACCATAATCACATCATGAGCATAACTCATCAAGCAACTGACTTGAATTGCTGGAAAATATATGAAAGCTGGAAGGTAGTTTTATTGCTGTTTAGCAAAACGTTAACAGGGCTCTTCCACTAATACACATTTTGTTGATATTGTGAGCATTAAAATCAGGAAGTTGTGGAATAAGTGGCAAATTTGGCTACCAAAAATATATGTTCCCATCATGAGCATGATTTTCAGAAATGTGAGCTGAGATTGATAGTTTGTTGAGGGGATGGGGGGATGTTGGCACAATTTGTGTTCCCTCCCCCCCCCCCCCCCCCCCCACCCCCCCCTTCCAATAAAAAACGATGGGAACATTCAGTTATTTTTGTAAATGGTATATTGGTTTCATGCTGCTAATTGCAAACATTTCATGAGGTAAATAAATAAAAGCTCAAGTAAATTTAGAAGATTGCAACAGGATTTGTTTTATTCTTTTTTTTTATATACAAATGAAAAATGCTCACAAAGGAATGACTTACGGCTAATTAACCCAATAGCAACGTTTCTCAGAAAAACATTCATTTACTGGCATGATGCACTTGATGATCAAAATAATTCAAAAAATTGCACATAATTTTATTTATATACAAATCGCATGCAGCATAGATTTTTACGTTTATCTTTTTATGTAAAGAATGAATTTGTTTTATACAAAATGTACATTTAAAAAGGTCTACTTTGGGGTACCAACTTGGGCTTCATAGAAATTATTTAATACAAAAATTTGGTCTAGCAACTAGTTGTATGTCACATTGATTTTTATAAAACAAACATTACTTACTATTTTTCTTACTTTTTAAAACATCAATACATTTGTAATAGTATTGATGAGAAAATTGTTAACAAGAAAGAAGTTCATTTAATTTGAAAAATGAAAAAAAAAAAAAAATCTTTTTAACTTAATGCTCACCAGGAGATAATTTGTAAAGCTTTTTGGCAAACAATTCTTGGGAATTATTTCATTTTTTTCTTAAGTACTGTTTACCTGGTGGTTTTCGTCTTTTTGCCAATAAACTATATCACTTGGTCATATTACTTGTCTTTGTAACTTTCAGAATAATTTATTCAGAATCATCTTTTAGTCCTTAAAGGAAATCATCTGACACTTTGAGGTACGAATGGATATTTGTTTTTACTTGGTCCTCATTTAAATAATCTTATGACGCAATTCAGACGTTGAACAGCAATTTTTGTTTGCATTTTTTTTCTTTAGATACATCTAGTTTTGCATAAGACCCATACGGCACCAATTTCAATGCCAAGTTAATCCCTAATGCAATGAGATGAGGTTAAATCAAGTTCAGCCTCAATAATGCATGACTTCAAAAAGTTTTATATTACAAAAACTGGAATATAATAATCCATATTTGGCTTATAGTTTGTACATATTTGTAAGAATTCTTGAGTATGATTCAAGGGATTCTATTGTGTCTCATCTGTACGCGTCTTTGCATACATTCCTTCATGGTTTGAGGCATGTACCATTTGCATCCAGCACCATCTTTGATGCAGCGTGAGTAGTCAGACTCACAATCCAGCTCATTGTTGTTCAGCATCCGGCCGGAAACATTCCAGATGCAAGTATTGGGTGTGGTTGCTTGACAGTTGCCATGGAAACAGGGCCTGATCTGTACAGAAATGAATTTTGGATAAAAGATATTTTTCAGTGCATGCATTGTTCGGTTTGATAAAATCTGGTGTTTTTTAGTTTTGTGGAAATATCCACCTCTGTTTCTTTTCTCAACTTTTGTAACAGTCTAAAAAGTCTTACAAGCATGTGAAACTTGATAATATCAAGCTTTCAAACTATTCAGACCTTAAGTCTTTTGTCTGAGTCTAAGTCAACTTTCTCATTACCATGTCCAAGTCACAAAGATAGACTCATCAACCTCCTCCCAACTAAATATGAAGACTTAATTGTCTCATCTTTTACCATCTGGTGGCTGAGTAGGAATCAGTGATGTCTAGGTTAATGGACGGACACACATGTCACATCAGTGTTGTAGTTAGGCCATCATCCTCTGTCCAAAATGTTGGCCAATGGTATCAAATGAGGGGAATAATCGTCATAGCGATTTTTGGCAAGGTATAGCCTACACCTCCAGATATAAAAAATATGTGATAGCATTGCAGCGCTGGCAGGTTTTTGGGTGTTATCACCTTTTTGTCCAAATGGCCATCAAAATGCTTGTTCCCACTCTAGGGGCGGTATACCTTGCGCATGTGCACTATAATCATTTATGCCCTGATTTGATACTGACCAAACACCAGGCTGATGGCCTAAGTCCAGATCATCTCAGCCCTTCATATCTCTTCCAAAGTCCATCACAAGTCCTCTATTGTCTAGTCAAATTGTAAAGGAACTCCGTTGTAATTGTCCTACCCATTTTACTTTTAACTGGTCAGTTGTGAAAGGACTTGTGATGGACTTGACACCAGCACTGAGTCATAGCAGGTGGCACTGTCCAATAGCATTTGATTCATATGCAATTTAACTTGAAAGAGCTCCCTCTATTGTCCATACCTGACAGGAATCACAGTACTGCTTGTATAGGTGTCGTATTCCCTGACGCTGCTTGCGGCTGAGGTGACTGTACTTCCTAACCCAATCACACATATTGACGGTGTACATGTTCTTCATTTGCCGACCTGCCAATTGCAGAAAGACAAAAATGGTGCTGGATTAAATGGAACGATGCAACAAAAAGGGAAAAGGATGGTTATTCATGTATCAAATATGTTTATCTCTCAATCCAGAAAGGTGTATTCCCCATTTATTGGCCCTCCGTGTGCAGTGATGTATAAGTATTGTTTGTGTGTCAACATATGAGTGGCTCTGAGATCAATATAGAAAAAATACCATGGACTGACAAAACTGGTCACAATGTATATTTAAAAGAGTGACACTTTTGCAAGAGCGCTTAAAATGTTCCAGAGCTAAGTGGTAGGAAGCTATGTCAGTCAGACAAATGTGATAAGATTAGCTAATAATTTGCATGAACTTTATATTTTGTGGAAACTACTTTTTCAAATGCACTATAAAAACTCATGCAAATTATGTACATGCACATGTAACCATTAAAGCGATATCCATTTGGCCTAAACTGTCAAAAACAAAGTTGCTTTTAAAAGAAGGCCCTATAAAAACTATTAAAGATTAGAAACTAGGCTGTAAATGAGAAGTATCTCAAATTCGTGGATACTCCACTTCTCTTTAGGGCAAATGTTTATGAAAACCCAGATGTCTAACCAAAAGTGTCAACTTTAAGCATACCTGTAAGGACATAGACTTCATTCTCTTGTAGTGGCATTCCACATGTCTCTCCAAGTCGTGAAACCATTATCTCAGCATGCTTCTTAGGTCCCATCAGTTCTTGACCCTTGAAGATCTTCTCAATACGAACCTTGTACATTCTCATATTTGGAGTTGATGTGTCATTGTCAGCTTTCATCTTTGTGTCGTTGTCTGAGAGGACCTTCAGGTCATCAACGAGAATTTTACCCTTGATCACTGCATAAAGAATGACACGAGAATTGAAATATTTTGTCACAAGGGAAGTTCAACTTGGATGTAGAGGGGAGGTGTTCATACGTTTATTTTGTTGAGGACAAACATTTCTTGTGCTGTGATTACTAGATACCGGTACATTCTTGCAAAAGAATTTTCGAAAATATCCCCATGCATGGCAACATTTATTTACTGCAACAGCTCAATATGGAGAACCATGCAGTTGTATTTTCAAATAAACCACAATGTGCAATTGAGAAGGTACATTATAAAAAAGATTTTTTTTTTCTTTTCTAAAGTTGAACAATGAAATTGTCTGTAACAGGCAGTGAACCTGTGACTTGTGGATTACCATAATGGTGCTCCACCAAGTCTACATGTATGTATGTTTGCAGTTCTCTGTTTAGTCTCTTTGCTCAAGGGCCCAAGTCAGAAACCCATATATTTGAAGAGTTTATTTCAAACGTTGGAAGTTGGAACCATGCCTCAATCCCAAATTCCTTGTCTACTCCTTTCATTCCCCAGTCCATGTCTCTCCTAAGTAGATTGTCTATGGTTACACTGCTTGACAGGATGTATCTTATAGTTTCAGCTTATTGTTTTCATCTTAGTGTCCATCTTTGAATTGTGTGTTATCCGCCTGAACACTCTTGATGTTAAATGGACCCCCCATCAAATTGTTATATGGAAACACAAGGCTATCATCACAAAACAAAAGGCTGGTTTGCATGTGCAGTGCATTACATCAATATCCTAATAACTTGGCCACCTGCCAGCCCTATTATAGTGACTAATTCACTGTTCCTGAGTTCCTTTTGATTGAAACCTCTCTAGTCTCAAGGGTTTTGGGCCAGGGGCTGCAGAAATATCTACAGGGATTGGCTATTGTTTGAAGTCTTGTCTGCTCAGGGCAGTGTTTAGTTAAGTTTGTAGCTTGCTGTTTGTTTGACTATCGTCATCAGGTTTTATCCTGGTCAGTCTGTTTGTTCGACCAACCTACTGCCTGTTTGTGTGTGCATGACTTCTTGTTGGCATATTGTAAATTGTAGTGTTATCGATTTCCGTCAGACAGTAACGATGTGTATTACCTGGTCTACCTTCAAATTTTTGTCCATATATAAAAATGTTGACGTTGTGCGGTAATTACAAATGTACTGTTAAATTAGTAAAGCTAATAGTAGACTTAATTATAAACCTTGTTTTTTTATTAAGCTATTGTAAGCATGCTCAGAATTTCTCAAGCAATTATGCAGGAAAGAGATAGCCCCATGCTTACAATAATGCAAAAATGTTCCCAGTAATTTGATTAGTAAGTCAGTTTGAATCTGTTGTTGCCTGTGTGCCTTGTCTCAGTTCATTCATTTGCCTTTCCAACTTCTTTTGATACTCTCAATCATTTTCACTCCTCAATACCCCTTAATGCTCTATACAATAAACTGATTAGCAGGATGAATAAATTGATGAATGAACATGATGAATGAAGTGTTTGCACTCACCAAAATCTGCTCTGCAGTAGTGTTGCTGTGGGTGCATTGGCATACAGACACATGCTTCTCCAAGATTCATCTTGAGAATGACAATCAACAACGTCAGCTGAAGACAACTCAGCATTATTATGGACTTCATACTTGGTACTTTGTCACAAACTAGACCAGGGATAAAAATGATGCTTGCACTATGCTTCTAAGATCGATAGTATATGAATCCTGTCTGTTAAAGACTGAACAGTTTTCCGGCCAACAAGTTCTGCTTAATTTGCTTCAACAGAAGATATGTAAGTACCCCATCAAATACTACTGCCTCTTTATACATGCTTGAATAGGAAGTTGTTTGTAGTAGATTGTTTGCAAGCCCCACCCCCTGTAGTAAACCATGGGTAGGTACTGGATAGGACATCCTGTCATGTGGCCTTGAATTAACCAATCACAGATCACCATTATCATGACGTTATAAGGTAATTGTCTGTACTTCCGTGGCGGGAACTGGGCCCACTCTACTAGTTCTGGCGGGAGGCCAAAAAAAGTGGCTTGCGCTACTTGCCTTTGATTGGTTGTAAAAGTTGATACTTTCATTAGTAAAAGCAACATTTCTGGTTAGGTATATATTTTTTTCTGACCTGAACTAGCATTTTATACTGAAGCAAAAGAAGGATGGTAATGTTACGTCCACCCACCCCCCTCTTCCAATCCTGGAGATCACTGTTCCACATCAACAATAAAACGTTTATAACAGTGCTGACCATGCATGCATTCTTGGTTAAACCTACCGGTAAGAAAGTGTTCCATGCTTTGTTTTCTCAGGTCTAAAAATACAAAAGATTTCATTGAAAACAGCTGCCAATACTTAAAAGAATTTTCTATTACTTTTATTCCAGAATTGAAAAATGAATTTTTTAATAGCTTAAAATGGTCTTTGCAGTGATGAATTTAACAATCCCTCATCATCATGCCCTCAATTGAAAGATTAAGGCTTTCCTTCAGAGGAAGTTGATAACATCTAGGAGACTTTTATTTATCGTAGACAAAACTTTTTGAGCAACAATAAGTCAGTAAATGTGACAAATGATTTCCTTTAAGGCAGGAAATAGGGGTAGCACAACATCCCCCAGAAGGTCATAGGTCAAGTCTCCATCTTAGACACTTGTCATCTTGACAGGAAAAGCTCTTCAATCATTTCTTTTGGTTTTAAGATTATTCTTATAAATAATTGTTCCTTTCTTACTATGGTGAAATTGAAACCTCCTATTCCATATAAAATTTATACTGTTTGTTTTTACAAATTTTCTTTCATGTTACTTGTGCCCCAACATGTTAGGTAGAATTTACATCACTTTATGTTAATCTCTCTAATTTTTTCCCAGATCACTTTTGTCAAAGGGTGGGGGTTATTTAGTGCTTGAGTGTGTGTGTTTGTTTTTGTAATTACAATGGGGCAGGTTTTCAATTAACTGAATATTCAGACAGTAGACAAATGTTTCTAAACTTATGTTTTATTGTATTTCATTGTATTATTTTGTGTTTTCATAGAATTTCATGAATATTATAAGTTCTGGTCTATTGTCAAATCATTGTCCACATTTTCTAAGTGGGCATGGACCTTACATAGGTCTATAGGTTGATATTGGTCAAATTAGCAGAGGTCCTGGTGTGATTCATGCACCACAACAGAATGCTTTATTAACAATCAGACTGATGATTTGATCACAGTGACCATTTCCCAATAACTGATGATGCATATAGCTACAGGATTCAAAGAAGCTGGTAGGAAACAATGACAGAAGATGCAGGAAATAATTGATCTATACATGTACTGGTACATGGTGTATGAAGTATTAATGGTCTGATCTGGACAGAGACAAAATGCAACCGTTTTATTTTTGCATTAGATTGTTACAAAATTAGTGACCGTTGAACTTGAGTAGAGTGATGCATTGTTATTGTCTATGTTCAACCCTTGAAAATAAATATATTAGGTAGTCATGTCATAGTAAAAGAAAAAGATATGACAAAAGACCATGGATGATCATGCAGTGGTGTGAACCACTCCTCTCCAGTAATAATTACACTTCTAACACTTTGATGTCTCCTCTCAGACTCATTTGACAATAGTTTTACAAAACACAAACGTTTCAGTGCAAGAGAAATATTGAAATAACCCCCCCCCCAAAAAAAAAATGCTTAAAATGACAATCTAAAGTACTTTGTTCAGTTTATAAATGAGAAGAGAGCATGGGCGTATTTTAAATAAGATAGAAGGTTCTTCGTGCCCTGTCTCTCAAATAAGAAAAGTGAAGGTTGTATTGGACAGCATAAGACATTTGAAGAGTTTTATGGGCTTCATAGTATCCCTGCCAGATCAGACAGGCTTTGCTTTAATTTAATATTATTGATGTCACTTCCTCCCACCAATTAACCATTTCCTTATTTTTATTTCAAAGAAATAGAGGTCTTCTTTTTGATACACTGGAAAGTGGAAAGACCACTTTTTCATGATGCACCACATGAATATGTGTTTAAGTGGTGTTTTAGGAATGTCATTTCTACAGAATTCACTATTATTCTGTTCAACTACCCAGTTACTGAATGTTTTAGATGAGTGACATAGCCATTGTTATGAGAAAGCAAACAAACAAAATCAAAACCACTGATTGAGGCTTTGGACAAGTGATCTTGCTAGCATCTGCCAGTGCTTGTCCCTGCTGTTATCATCAAATGTTGAAGAACAAAAGAAAGAAGTGTTTGTTGATATGGCTTAACAACATTCACCATAAGCTGCATTTAATACATCAAACTTTTGTAGGTGACAGATTTTGACAAGGGAGCAACCTTGGGAGTAAACCATGCACAGGTGCAACAGCCTGTATTTGAGGGTCATTCCCAGGTCAAGATTGCAGTCAAGAAATGAATCATCATCCTCTTGCACTTTCCTTGCCATCAATGGATCTATGCTTTGTTTTGTGAACCTTTTAGTCAGGAGAGCCCCTCGACAGATACTTTGTCTCTTTTGGGAGATCCTTCAGTAGCTGTTCTTTTTATTTTCTGTTGTTGTCCGTTTATTTGTATGTGTTGGGTTTTACTGTTTATCCCGAGGAATAAAGTAAAAGTAAAGTAAAAGTATGCTCCATGAACACTGTCCTGAGTTTCGCTGAACTAAGATTAAGTTGACCAAAAATGAAGAACAAAAATGGTATACATGTACATACCAGGAGAATATGAAGTCCCTTCATGTTACAAGCAGTACTACCACTGAATAGAATCTACATATCATTTAAGTGCTTACAAAATATCATCAGTCAACAGTTAACGTAACCTAGTCCCACCCACTCTATTCCAAAATTATCAACGAGTGTAAAAATGTAACTTGATTTGCCACTTGACCTAAACCCCTCCAATTTGAAAATAATAGTTTGATGATCAGTTTCCTCTCTATGGATCACAACACTTCTGTGCAAATAAACAAGGGAAGTTATTTCTGTTTTGGTTCTATATTGTTAGACTGCATGTTTGAAACTGATAACAATCCTGAGAACAAAGATACAGGTTGTCAAATCTGTTTATGCCAATTTTAGTTGATGACTTTGTTTGTGTTTAATATCTGTTGTGTTGAAGTTTTGGGTCAAGAGATTGAAGTATTTTGTAAATTCATTTGAAACCTGTACTCTAGTTAATATGACATTGCTGTGTAGCAACAGACATTCTGCCTAGCATTTCAAGCACAAGGATCTGAAAGTCAGACTTAAAGAAACAGTCTGAGTAATTGTATAAAATTGGCTAACACATCAATCGTCTCAAATTTCTCAAAAACCATGTCCACCTTTAAATATGCAGACATTATTAATGGAAAAGTATCCTTTGAGTCAACAATAACTATGGAGTGTCATTGATAAGGTGATTCTGTGTTGTGGTTTTGTGGTTTTGCGGTTTGGATTGTGGTTTGTTTTGATGGATTTAATCTAGTTGTAATTGAGAGTGATAATTGGAAGATTATTCAACCTATTAAGTCTACGCTTTTTATACCTGCATGATACACATTGTAATGTTAACAACAGTCTTTTGAGGGCGTTTGGGGTTACAAAAATGGCATGTAAAACAAATGGGAAGGTTTACTGATACTTCATGGCTTTCTGATCATAGCAATAATTAACAAAGTTGAATTATTTATGAAAAGTATATGTACATGTAGGATGTAGGCCTTCTTTCCCCGAAAAATCTGAATACAAGAATCGAGACCCTTAAATGTCCCAAATGTTCTAACTTGAGTGGTGGATTAAGTTATTGGTACTTTCTTCTTTTTGTCTTTCACTTTCCTTGTTTCGGATTAGAAACCGCTGTCATTTGCTCATGTCACCACCTTGACTATTGTATGTTAATTGTATTTACCTTCACTTTCAGAATGAAGCCAACAAACTTACATTGTAATTACAATGTGTGCTACGTGTGAACTTTGTATGAGAAAGGAGAGATTTGAGAAAAGAAACAAAGTTATCTGTGTCTTGCCTGTTATTGTCACTGTCATGAGATCTGCCAGATTGTGATAAACTCATTTGCATGTATAGTCATGTGACATTCACAAACTGCACTTTTGACCAATCACATTGCTAGTTTCTTTTCTTGTTTTCGTTAGCTTATCTTGCTTGTCACAAGTGTCTTCAAACTCAACAGGATTAAAGAGGATATTGACAACCTAAATAATTGCCAAAATACTGGACAGAGTGTTGGGTTGGAAAAGTTCATTCACTTTGGCCACATCCTTAATTACTATTGGCTTATGAAAACAAACATTTATAAATTACTCATTATTGATGTATGACAGGTGCACAGAACAAAGCATTCTGTATACATATTGGTCAATTGTTTACAAGCTTATAATGTGAAAATCTTTATTACCTAATCCCTTAAGTTAATGCGACTTGCACCTGTTTTACCACAGCATAATTTAGACTTGGTTAAACATGATTTGCCAGTAATAATCCACTGCATGTCATGTGACAAGCTTCTGACCAATGAATTAGCTATCTGACTTATGAAATACCAGTATCTGTCTGACTTGTGAATGATTAATAAAAATATATAATATTTATGATTTATCAAATAGAATATTGCATCATTCTGTGGCATAGGAAAGTAGTCACTGAATCTTATGACTTGCTACAAGTACAAATGTGAAGGTTTTTTACTATTTATGTAATCAATTTGTATACTTATGCAAACAAATGTAAGATTTAAAAATGGCTTCAGTCATGGTTGTTTTATTAGTTGAATATATATCATATCTACCTAGAAGTTTCAGCAAGAGGGAGTTGTTTTAGAGTTACATTAATCACATTTCTTCTCTTTTTTTCCTTTTCCTTTTCTCATCCAATCACTACACGTAGACTCTTAAGTCAGGACAGTGTCGTGCACACGTAATGCAGGTACATGTACAGTCCTGTCACCAGTTCTGTTGATTACCAGTTATGTAGTGATCAGGGTACCAGCTGATAAGACCAGTGATATGCATGCATTCCCTTCCTCCCTGGATAGTTGTTTGATAGTATACTAACTGGAGCAATTGGATGCAAATCAGAAAAAGGAATCTCAAAATTAAAATACCAGTTTGACACAATTCAGCGGATCCTAATTTAAGTTTTTTTTGTGGGCAGCATACAATGTATTGTACAGAATCACAGAGCTGCCAACTATCAGGCATTGAGCGTGAGACTCATGCATTTCAGGTTGTTCTGACGCTCTCACGCGCAAACAGGATTTCTCACGCAAAAAAAAGAAGGAGAAATAACTCAAAAATTAAATTTAAATGATGATCTTTTGCTAAAAAAAAATGGTTAAAGTGGTCAGAAATTGCCTCAGATCACACCACAGAGCGTCTAGAATCCAAACTTTTTCAGGGCCCTTAAAGTGGGCCCCAAACCCACGCCATTAGGGCTTCGGGCTCGCACCAGCATGATTAATTCTGATCAAGCTCCATCGCCAATTTCTCACTCTCAGCTCTTACTCAAAGTTGGCAGCCCTGCATTCATTTCCAGGATGTCCCCCAGTTATTTTCCAAATCGTAACTGCAACCTGAAAGAAAAAAATCAAACCTGCTAATAAATGAAAATTTGTCAACATAGATACACCACAAAAGGGGAAGACCCCATACCTCCTTGCAAAGTCTTGTTATTGTGCCTCTGATTTACCAACACAAAACCATCTGTTATAGACTTGATGCCTAAGGTTACAACCTTATAATATATAAGAAATTGCCTTTAAATGGAAGAAGTTTTCACTTCATATTTTAAACTTTTATCTTGGACAATATACATGTATCATAGTACAGAACCCAGTTCCATTGATCATGTGAACAATAAAAAAAAAATCTTCTCTATAAGAATACAGTTGGTTGCACCTGCCCCCTTACTGTTTTGGTCTTCAATTGCCCTTCTAAATTATTTACTAAGTTCCCATAGAGGAACATGCTCACACCATTTTGTTCTGCATCATTGGTACGTCCGTTCTCATTTGTGCGTGAAAGTTTTTTTTTTAATGATTTGTTATTTTTTTGCATTAATTAAGTTGAAGAAACTTGTGAATGTTTGAAGATCAAGTCGTCAGTTATTGGGAAATGTGCAACTTTCATATGACTAATTTAATTGATATTGAAAATATGATTTTTTGGACATGACTGGCATGCTTGCACGATAATTGTTTATGTTGATTTTCTGTTTGCATGTTGAAGAGCATGTTGTTATGGGTTTTTCTGAGTTTCATACTTTTTTCTTAGTTGCTTTCATTGTAACTGTTGCAGCAACGTTTCTCCTGTTTTGGTGCAGAAAATGAAGTATGGTATGTGTGCTTTCCATGACCTGAGTGTTTGTTTATGTATCTTGTAGCCCACTATTGGAGTTAACAATTGGACCACCCCCTTCTCTTCCTTTCCTTGGATGAAGAGCCAAGTGGGCTTGATAGTTCTGCGAGTCTTGTGTGTTATGTTATCCATAAAAAATAGTTAAAATTGACAACAGGGCAAATAATCAGCATTGAATGTATACATGTATTCATCGCCGTTATAATTATTTTAACAAAAATATCACCTAACTCCTATGAGTGAATTTTTCAATTTTGAACCTTTTGAAACATTTAGGCCTACTAAACATTATTTAGTAATTCTATATTTCATTCCGAAGCTTTATTAATCAATTTCTCTGATGTTCAAATTAAAGCAGTCCAACTTCTCCCATCTGCTTTGGAGTAATGGATAGCCTTCCAGACAGGATAAGTCTGTTCACAGCTTGAGGTTGATCTTAGATCAACTCTCTGAACAGTAGACCTTGTCCACTCAAAAACTGAAGATAAAAGTCGACAGATGGGCATGTTTGAATTGGGTTATTGCTACTGGTCACGATGTTTTGATTCATTAATGGTTGTCAGTTTTGTTCCTTGATGACCTACTTATAGGTGAGGTCAGGCATAAAGTTGCATTCAGTGCCTATTTAGATTGTTTTACTTTTTCTCATTGACATATGTTCAGTTGAACATCTTTCTGATTTCGTGTACCAAAGTATACTGCAGGCTGCAAGTTTCACATTCTTGGGAAAGAATCCTCAGCTGTGGGCTAAGGCCCCCCCCCCCCCCAAAAAAAGTCTCCGGTTTCTGGTAGGCACGCGTCGCCGTAGCAGAGCGCGTCAGCAAAATGACATTTTTTTTCCGTAAGCTTATCTTTTTCTTTCATAATCTCACTGGTTCGACTGGAATCCTGCTGCTGCACAATTTGAACGTGTTTTTAGATGGGGTTGCGATCGAGTATAAGCTTTATGTGGCCTGGCACCATTTGCTGTCATCAGCCGACATTTGAAGAAAGAAAAAAAGCTGCGTTACCGCACCACTTTTTGGGCAAGCTCCATACCACAAATGGAGACCTTTTTTTGGCCTAAGATATTGAATAATAATAATATATAGTTTGGTGATTATAGCGTTTCTTACCAAAGTTTTCAAAGCGCTTCACACTGATTATCCTTTTTCGTCAGGCCATGATCTGCAGCAGCTAGAGATCAGTGCAATCTGGTCTCTACCTTCACAGGTACCCATTTATACTCCTGGGTTGAGAGAGGCAATTGTAGTAAAGTGTCTTGCCCAAGAACACAAGCACCATGTTCCTGTCATGGTTCGAGCCCACGTAACAAGGCACACCAGACGAACACCATAACCTCTTGACTACACAACGCGAAATGTGTTGAGGGTGCTAGGGTACTATGGCTATGTAACCACTAGACTACATAACGCAAAATGTGTTGAGGGTAGCTATAAACTAGACTTAAGTTTGGATACTAGTGCAAACTGAATCATGAAAGACAAGACTTGCTGGTTGAACGACAACTGATGCAAACTTATGAATTCTTTGTACACTGGTGTTTGCAGGAAAAACGTGTAAACATTTAAAATTGCATTGAAGTATTAGTTGTACATGTTAAGTGTTTGAGGGATGAACCATAATGTGTTAGGTGCCTATTGATTGTTTCCCTTTGACTAGTGATTTTTATTTTGATTCATCTTTAAGGGTGACTGTAAACCTCTGTTCCATTTATGGTTGTTTAAAAACACATTGGTAGCTATTATTAAAGCAACAAGAAACCCTAAACAATCGGGTGCTGTCACAGTCTCAACTTGATTTGTAATCTTACAATGCGAAAACATTTTACTTACTTACTTGTACTTACTTGTTGCAAATATTGAAGTTATCTCCCTTTTTGAACAGGCATGCATGGAGGCCATCAGAAAATTGTGTCAAATTCCAATTGTTTTGAAATTATAAGCTATCATGGAGCAATGTTACCATCCCGTTATGCATGAATTGCAGGATGTATTTGTATGATTCATGACATTTTTCCTCGGCCAAACATTACTAAATTAATTTTGAATTCCTTTTTTGTATCTTCTGCAGTTGGCGAATCCTAAGTTTCCTCTGGTTGTCAAGATTGGCCATGCACATGCTGGAATGGGAAAGGTGGGTTTGCTGGTCACAACACTTGTCATTAGTGCAAGGCATTGAAACACACTTCCGTTAGCCTACCCATTTGTTTTGGGTTTGAAAAAACGTGATATGTTTACTAGCTGTATATTAAACATTTTTTTTATGAATTGTGCTATGACCTTTGAACTGATATAGCACCTTGCCATCTGTCAATCAGAGCTCTTTTTTATAGAGATATAATGGGGTTGTAATTCAGTGAAGACTTTACCAAAGGCTAGGCTACTGTGGGAGATTTATCAATCAACACTAAGCTTAGCCCAACTGTCACCATATGTGCAGGTGAAACTCCAGGTTCACTCATTGCAACCTCGCAGCAGAAATTGAAAGTGAAGTTTAAGGCACAGTAACTTGATGTTCATAATTGAACAGGAAATATTGGTGGTTCTCCCCGAGGGATGTAAACATCACAAGACCATTGCTTAGCTGGAAGAAACATAAAGAGATAACTGGTAATAAAGTGAGATGTTTGCGGTGGAAAATACAGTGAGTCATTTTGTGATGACTTGTGGGTTTGCGCCATCCATTGTTCCTCTATGATTGCGGAAAATAACTGGTTTTGTTGAATGAGTGTGGCTTTCCAGAAAGTCCAGGGGAGCAAGAAAAGGAGGAGTGCCCCATCCACTCCTTGTCTGTCGATTTGAGAGGCACTTCTAATTATTCAATATAATATCCTGAGATATATACTTAAGGCCTCGCTAAGTTAAACAAAAGCCCTGAAATGACCCGTTAACTATTTCTGTACCTGTGTGTTCCCGTGGTAACAGGTAAGAGTAAGCAATCACCAGGATTTCCAGGACATCGCCAGCGTTGTGTCTATCACTAGTTGTTATACAACAACAGAATCCTACATTGATTCCAAGTATGATATCCGTGTGCAGAGAATTGGCAATTCCTACAAGGCATTTATGTAAGTATATAGGAATAAATCTCACACTCACACACTCAACCGAAATACCAGGCTTCAACTGAAGACACCCATGCTATCTACCCATGTTGTGTGCACTTGACTTAATTTACTCAAGTGTGCTTCTGGTTGATGCCCTAATGAGCAAACTAGCGCTAAGCTTTTTCATTGAACAGTCTATATCAAAACATCAAATTTCGTGGTGCTCCCCTGCCGATTACTCCCTTTACTGCATCATGGGCGTCACCAGGATTTTTTCTAGAGGGGGCAAAACATATTTTTGCCCCAAAATGCCTGTATTTCTCAACACATTCTCGATTTATCAGTTTTAGAGGGGGGCAGGGACATTTTGCCCCCCCCCCCCTCCCCCACCATTAAATTTATTTTTTCTTTTCTTTTTTCTTTTCTTTTTTCTCTTTTTTTGGGGGGGGGGGCAAGTGCTTGCTCCCCCCCCCCTCGCGATGCCCATGTACTGCCTGAAACCACCCAAGCGCTCTGTGGTTTCATTGATTCATAAGTGAATAAATACAGTACAATTACAATGTTGTACAAGTAATAATGGGTTAATTTTAAGCATCATAATTCTGGGCTTTGTACAAAAAACAGCGGATGCATATAATTTTGATAAAAACTGTCTAACTTAGAAGATTTATTGAGCTACAGTCCCAGTTACCCAGCAGTTTTCTCCTAAAATTCAATGACTTCATATCAGTTACACAAGTTGATGCTTTTCAGGAATGCCTGAAAGTATTGTCTTGAGTTGTCAGAGGAGAAGCATCAAAGTCTGTTTCGAAATTCTGTAACTTAAAAGTTTTTTATTGTAAGTTGGATAAAAACAGGAAACAGGAAGGAAACATTTTGTCATAAATCAACAGGAGCTGAAGTTTTCTGCTCATAAATTTGTTGATAGACTTTTGATGATAGGCTTATCAGTACGAAAATTCCATGGGTTCGAGCACAAATACTCAAGAACAACGCATCATTAAGCTCCCATCCAGGGCCCTATCTATTATCTTGCCTCACTACTGACACTAGTTTTTGTGTGGGTCTAGCTTGATATAGAACTCTATGTATCCAGCCATAGTGACAGTCAATTTCCTTTCCAGGGCCTCCTTTCTAATTTAATAAAACAAAGCCCCTGGATCCTAGCCAGGGATGTCTTATTTTGAAGTCAGTCCAACAGTCTGTATTATCATGTTGTATTGTACCTTTTTGGCATCCAGAAGTAGAAAATTAGAGCGTAGGTTTGTGATGTTCTCTTGGGATGGACAGGGTTTGTTCTGTATGCATTGTCACAATCACCTGACTTCCTTTTGTAGTTAGACTTGACTCCTTTAGAGGAGGGGTTTTAGAGGAGGGGTTTTAGAGGAGGGGTTTTAGAGGAGGGGTAGGTTGTTCAAATAATTTCATTGGAAATCTGCAGATAAATTGATTTTAATGAGGTAAATGTTTTCCAAAGGATTTGAAGATCAAAACTGAGAGAATTGTTCAACTGAAAACTCTTGTAGTATTGTGAAAGGAACTATATACCTGGTCATGCCAGGTGCTTTAAAACTAACCTAGCTATTTGGCAACAAGTTTGTGACGAGATCACATTTGGCTGATGGCCAAGACTTGACGCAGTCAATGGGTTGCATGTTTGGGATTCAGTCCACAATGCACAGGTCTTATTATAAATTGTCATACACTTTTTTTTGCAAGTTGCATTTCAATTACACCTGTTTGATGTTCTATTCCTGAAGAGCTTGTTTCAGGGTCTAATTCAGATTAAATTCAAAACATACTACATTTTGTTTTACAAAGAATTGCATTTTATCTTTGGAGGATTTTATGTTTACTTTTCTGGCTTATTCCACAATGATTCATTTTTCTCCTTGCATCAGCTGGTAGTGACATTGTTTCCTTCTTCAGTAATTAGAAGAAATAGGATATTATTTGCCTACATATTGGCAGCATGCAGTACCAAGACACAGCTTCAACAAAGCAAACTTCTAAAAAAGAAATCCATTCAAAGCCATGTTAGGCTTCCCTTCACCATACATGTTTCTTTATAACTGGAAACAATTGTTCAGTTTCTCAGAGACCCCCTACTATGACTAATCTTCACAAAAGTTTTGCAGTCCTTCCCTCGCACATTGCACTAAGTCCTTATTATTGACAGGCTGTTATACTACACTCATGTAACTCATAATGGCAGACAAGCTGAGAAAATCCTTTACAACACCTAGCTTTAAATTCAATCAGACAACCTGTTCCATCACTTTGGTCAAATCTGATGGGACAAGATAGCTATACAGGAGTGGCAGTGTCACCCTTCATATTCAATAAAACAGGAAGGTTAAACATTTTCTAAAAAGGTCACTCAGACACGTTGTGAACGTGGGCTTGCTCTCTATGTATGTTTCTAAGGAAACACGAGGATAGAGAGTTAACAAAGATGGGAGTTGCAATTCCTGAGTTGTAATTGGCAGGAAGTTCATATAATGACATCCAGGGTAGTCTGAATTGTTGCCAGATTTCTAAATGTAGAGGTACTGTGCCTGGGGAAGCGTGCTTTGGCAAGGGGGATCCAGTCTGTGTAATGAACTACATGCATTTGTAATTATATGCTCTATAGATGTAAAAGCTCTTTATCTGTAAATGTGCCTTTTATATAAAGTTGTGACACAAGTATGTTTTATGAGAAGTTCTACATAGCTGAAATATAACAATTGTATTATAGATGATAGTTCTACTTTGTCCTAAGACATGAAATTTGTTTTGAGCCATTCGTCTTGTTTTCTATTCAGTTGTGGATCCATGCTAGTTAATAAAAAGGAGGGGCTGCCTACATTTTCATCAATCTCAATCTGCAATGAAGTCTGTTGTCTCTTAAACAATTCAGAAAGAAACTATCACAATTAATGTATTGAAATGATTTGCAGCATTAGAATTGGTTGTTAGCCCTTTTTATATAACACCCAACTAAATCCTTGTCATTTGAGTGGAGGATTGTAGGTCACGCGGCATTCATTAATCGATCCATTGCACGGCCTACATCATAACTGTGCATTTTTGTTTCCATTCACCGTGCATTTTTGTTCCATCCCTTTTGATCTATTGCAGGCTGCACTATACGATCTTTGCGCTATAACTTTGCGTTTTAGCAGTGCAAAACTTGCCCAAGTTCATGCAGTTGCCTTGATGATTTTTTTATATTGTTTTAAGAACTTACAATGTTAATTGTCATTATTATGAATGATTTGACTTTTAAACCTCTTTTAGCCTTGAACAAGCTGAAAAAGTAGTGGATATGATACAATTTTGTGAGTTTCGTTTGTTCTTAAAGTTTTATCCTCCAATCGAATGACAAAGATCTACTTGGATGTTATATAAAACAAATGAATGTTTTGCATTCGTACAATAGTGAGAATATTTTCATTCATTGGAAGATGGAATGTTCCACTCAACTCGGCTTTGCCTCGTTGAATGGAACATTTAATCTTCAACTCATGAAAATATTCTCACCATTGCACTCATAAACATTCAGTATAAGTGTACTAATCCCTCTAGATCTAGTGTTGTTTTTCAAACCTGGTCAGCTTGCCTGCGTTGTGCTGTTCTTTCATGACTTTAACAGGGCTTGTCTCATTGTAGTTTTTTTCTGTAATGATTTTTTTGCCAGGAGAACATCCATCTCAGGCCACTGGAAATCCAATACTGGATCAGCTGTGGTGGAACAAATAGCCATGACAGAGAGGTAAAACACGATCATTTCTGCAACCAAGTTTATTGCTTTGTATAAAGCCCGGGAAGTGACAGGGTGGAATTTTTTTTTTGTAATTTGCTAATTCGTTCACTCGAATTACTAATTGTTCGCACGAATTACTAATTCGTTCGCACGAATTGCTAACTCGTTTGCACGAATTGCTTTTTAGTTAGCACGAATTGCTATTTCGTTTCCAGGAATTGCTAATTCGTTCGCACGAATTGCTAATCGGTTCCCACGAATTACCAACTCGTTCCCACGAATTACTAAATGCGTTCCCGGATCCACGTGTTAGCAATTTGTTTCCACGAATAAGGAAATCGTGGGAACGAAATAGCAATTTGTGCGAACGATTTAGCAATTCGTGGGAACCAAGTAGCAATTCGTGCGAACGAATTAGCAATTCGTGCAAACGAATGAGCAATTTATGCGAACGAGTTAGCAATTCGTGCGAACGAATTAGTCATTCGTGGGAATAAGTTAGCAATTCGTGTGAACGAAATAGCACATTACAAAAAAAAAATCCAACGTGTCCCTTCCCGGGCTTCATAGCTTTGCTTTATATTCTTAGCAGAAAAGATGTGGCAATTATAGCAGGACATTGTGCTGACCTCAAGCATGGACAATTCTGTTGCCACATCACTGCACTTTGAAGCTTTTTTTCCTTGAATTTAGCATGCATTTTGTTGTGCCAACTGCTTATAATCGCGATGCAATGCATAATGGCCCTGTAAGCAGACAGTTGTGTGTTTAGCAGTGCTGTGCAGTTAGACCACGATGTCCCTCACCCAGCTACTGTACCTTCATGAGTCCTTAACAATCACAAAATGCATCAACCAACAAAATGAAACATTGGTCAGCACACTCCATTTGGAGATAGCATGACTGCAATTCATCATTTGTCATGCTTTCATAAATGTAAATCATTTGAGTCTGTCAACAATAATGTTGATATCCATAATAGGTTGATAGCTTGCAGCCAGGATTTGGGATGAAATCTACCTTTTCCATCCAGCTCCAGTCTCAGGTGCATTATTATTAACACTCAAATTTTCCTAAAATTGTAATGTTTCTTTTTTATTGATTGACAGGTTCAAACTGTGGGTTGATGAATGTTCAGAGTTGTTTGGTGGCCTGGATATCGTAGCAGTTGAAGCCATCCATGGCAAAGATGGAAAAGATTACATAATAGAGGTTATTTGCACATAATCTATTAATTTATTATTAGTGTTGTATACATGTACCAATAACGTCTTAAAGGGCGGTCCATACTCGTTGTTCTTGACAGGGCAATTTTTCGTGCTGCGAATTCTCAATTGCGAACAAATTGCAACTCCGGTGAATTTCCGGCGAATGCTTCGTGACGTCAGAATCGCATCGCGTTTGCATTCGCATGAAAAATGAACCTGCCTTAACGGATGTCTTGTGTTCAGTGAATACATGCACTGCTGGCTCTAGACACACTGTCATGTCCTGATGATGAAGGGTTAGGTTTGTCAATGAAAATGCCGCTTTGCATGAAAGTCAGCAACAATTTTATTGAGGGGTAAGGTACTGGACCAGTACTGTAGCAAGAAATTATGGACCATGAAAACATTAGAAATTCTGTTTAAAATGCATCGGAGGTGATGGGGGCATGCCTAGACTTCATTAAAATTGTGCATGTATAAATTACATTTGTTATTAGTACAATATTGACTACGATCATCTTCTTTTCTGTTCCCTTTTTCTTTCTGTTCAAATTTTTTGTTCCCTTTTTTCTCATTTTCAAATTACAAAACAAATGTGTCTATGACATCTCAGACCCCATTGTTTGGCATTTCTTTTTGTTCTCAATGTCTATTTTTTATATGAAGTGAGAGGGTTCTGTAATTGACAGACCATTAGTTATCCTTTCTCTTTCATGGTTATTTTTTGTTTTCATCTTCAGGTGAATGATTCTTCTATGTCCTTGCTGGGAGAAAACACAGATGATGACAGGAAACAGATCGCTGATCTTGTGATTCAAAAGATGCATGCTACTCATCTTGCAAACTCTATGAGGTAAAACATTACCGAATGACATCAAGACTTAAACTTATAAATTCAAACAGCTAGCAACAGCCTCATTGCTTCTTAATTTTGGTTGGTTGCTACGTGTCATAACGATTGGGTTTTTTTTTCAATTATTATTTTAACTTCCGGTCACATCCAGGGTAGTGTCTTGTTTCATCATGAGACTTGTTTGAGGAAAATATAACACTGCACATTAAAACTGAAGGAGTTTGACCTAATACATGTGCAGGTTATAAATGAATGCCGTGTGCATACAAATCTCCTAGGATTGTTTCCAGTTAGTGTAAATGCATTACCATTTTCCCTCCATATAAATCAAAACCCGATGTTGCCCTTCCAAATTGGTTTGATTGTTCAGTGCTTAATGGTACCATAGACAGAGCATCCTCTGGCCAAGTTGGCAGTAAATGGTAGGAATCTGAGCTAGGTTAAAATGGGTGTCATTAGTCAGAAGTGTTAGGTCCAGGTGGATGAATTCAGTTCTACGTAAAATCATATCAATGAAATGTAACTGAGAAAGGCCCTGCTGAGATGGAGGCAACAGGGTCCATGTAAAACGTAATTGTACTTATTACCCATGATAGCTCCTTGTAGCAAAACTAGTTAGCTGTCCTTGTGACATTAATGTCTACCTTCTTAATTGTCAGTGTGGGTCATTTAGTTTTCATCAGGGTGATTATTTTCTGTATTTGTCAAGATTTGTTGAAGAAAAAATTCAATGAGAGGTTTCATCAAGAGTGTCAGATTTATTAAAACGCCGGGTTGATGGTAATTTGTTTTGTTCGAGAGTGCCTATTTGACAACATGTAGTGATAGACCCTGTGTTGCTTTGGAGCTGCACCAAATATTCATGGATTTTTTTTCATGTTCCCCCAGGCTCATCTCTGATGCATGCTGACACTCTGAAATGATTCCTGATTGTTTTTCTTTTCTTTTTTTTGTTGACAGTAAAACTACCTCTGGGTCGAGCTTGCTGGGACCTCCAAACACCTCTAACAATCCCAGCCCCCAGAAATCTGGTCCCCAGACTCCAAGTACACCTAAGAGTACAACACCTACTGGCACCCCTCAGAGGAGCCAGTCTGCAACTCCAACTAAGAACACAGTTCAAGGAGGAGCAATGGCACCTGGGACTCCGCCCCTGCCAACTAAAGTCACGCCCACAGAAGAGGAGGATACATTCAAAAATCTCAAGAAAACATTTGCCAACATCTTTGGGGATCTGTGAATTGCAGCAAAAGGACTCACTTTGTTTTGTTTTAAATGTTTGAGATTGAAAATTTGAAGATTTGAACTGGTGGCTAGGTTATATTACTAATTGGGCCAAACATTACCAAGCAGTCATTCACATGTAATGGAGTGCACGTGAAATATTCACAAAATGATTTTTAGAAGAAAGACTACCTTCAGCTGCCAAAAAACAAAAACAGTACAAATTGATGGAAGCTAGTGTAAGTTAAATTGTGTCCTACCTTGATCCCACCTGCAGCTTGGAAGACATAAACCAAACAAAAATGATAGGTTACAGTCAGTAAACTTGTGACTTTGAACCCAATCACTATCTGCTGTCTGTAGGACAATGCCCCCCCCCCCCCCAAAAAAAAGGGGGATGAAAAGATGGGTTTGACTGCTCCTAGCATCTTGGAACACTTAGTACCCCTTTGCTACTTGAATTATACATGTACAATAAGAGGGGGATGACGAAAGATTATTTTCATGACAAGAACTCTCCTCCTGTTATCATAGAGCGTCGGTGAGCATTGTCTGTGAATGTGTTATTAGTATCCAAGGCCTTCACCCACACCCTGATTCTGGCACTGCAATATAATATATAATGTTACAATTGTAGGTGCCATGGTCTTGTGGTCTGGTGTATCAAGGTTCGAATCCAGCCTGGGATTCCAGTGTGTGTCCCTAGGCAAGACAACTTGTTGCGGATTGCTTCTCCCTATCCAGGAGTATAACTGTACCTACAAGGGTAGAGATCCTTCTCTGTTTGTTTGATTTAGCCAGTCGTGCGTGTAATGAAAGCACTGGAGGTGAGATGGTCTTTGGAAAGTTTTTTTGGCCCGATGAGCACAGGTAATAATATTGTGTACCACACCATGAGAACCTATTTGGTTAATATGTACACTATAAAATCAGTAATATTTATATTATTTACCTGCCAATTACTTGTTTGTTAGTTTAAAGTTTTATTTGAGCAACTAAAACAGCTACGGAATGGAACTATCCCATTTAAATATATTAGATGAAAAATGTGTAGTGCTGAATTTTGTTTTGAAGAAGACATTGTTTTGTTGCACTTTAATTCAGTTAATTGCTTAGCAACTTCTTATGATGAGTGTTTGACTTGACACTGATAATATAAGGTGTTCTTGAAATTTTTTTTTTTTATTTCAGTTAACAATATTTTGGTTTCCTTACCTTACAGAGTAAGTGCAATAACTGTCCAATAAAATCTATCAATTCATCTGAAATGTTATTTAAATGTAACATAATTGTTTATAAATATTTATAGAGAACTGCTATTAAATTATTATATTCATTACAATAAGGAGAAGTTGATGTGAACAAATCACCTAAATAAAATGTAGTTGTGTATTAAATGAAAATGTTAGGAGTTTAGGAGTTAATGTTAGTGGGATGTCTAGAAATCTGAGCATTAAAATGTCAAGGTTTAGGTAGAATACAAAAGAAAGGTTGTATGTAGTTCCCTGTGAAGCCCAATATAAATAATGATAATCATTGAACATTATTTAGTTTAAGTTGTTATTGGTAAATTTGAAATATATCAATGTGATATATTCCTTTTTTTAACTTAAAAATAGCTAGTTTATTGAACTTGTAAAAATATGTTGATATTCGTGGCTGAATATGTATGAAAACAATATAGATGTCGTATGTTCAAACAAAAAGGGCATTCCTATCAAGGAAGTCTTAACCAGTGTTTGTTGCCCTCTACGGAGGAAAATGTGTAAAGGTGTGTATTCACTGAAAATTTACCAACAATGACCTTGAAGTGTTTTGTGTAATTGTGCATGAATTCAAACTATTTTCTCCTTGGATAAGTGAGCTCCTTTTTATGGATATCCTTTTAATTGTAATCAAATTTAGTTTTTAAAATGCACATAAAATAGCCTTTTTTGGGGGGGGGGTGATTATGTTTTTGAGAAGGCATGCAAATACTACTGTCATATCCAGTGACCTTTTTTTCAAGATTTAAATTGAGATGGGAAGAAAACACTGGAATTCTATCCAAGGGCAATTCTATAGAATTAAGAAGAGAGTGAAATGGATCATCCTGACAGCTTGGAACCGAATTAGGAACCTAAACGTTGTTCCTAAACAATATTAGCAACCTGGCTTCGAACATGGCGTGTAGAACGATGAGTTTGCTATTGTAAACATTTATGCAAAGAGATGGTTTGACTGGCATATGGGGGATAGATGTTATAAGTTTTCCCTGCCAAATTCTTTAAAAAAAATCGTTCAATTTAACACAAGGCCCATTCACATTCGAATGCTACCTTAAATGAGCATTTGAACATCAAACAGAGTCGTTGGATTTATGAGCAGTCCTTACCTGAATAAGTTCACTCATATCAAATACTCGTTTCGTTCATTCAAATTCGTCGAAGGCCTCAGAAACAAAAAGAGGCTGATCAAGCATTCGATTTAATTAATCAGCAGTCACATAACGGTTTCTGCATTCAAATTTGTTTGTGCGGTATGCGCTTTCTGCTGTTTCGTATTTGCCTATAATTTTAAAGGAAAGAAAAGCACAACTACAGGGTGGTTAAAAAAAGGACACCCACTTTTGACAGCAATTTTCACCTACTTAATGAACTTATTTTAAATATTTTGTCACTAAGTAGTAAAGTATAGGCCTTTGACCATGCATGGTGAAAAAAGCTTAGTAAAAGTCGCAAAAATAGTGATATTATGCTAATTTGAATACAAGTGACCAAAATCAGTCTTGTCCACGGATTATTTTGTTGGACGTTTTCGTAGTTCATAAAAATTAAAAATTAATCTTTCAAATTAAACTCTGATAGCTGAGCTCAGTCAAGCAAAGGGAATGTATACTTCCGAAGACAAACAGGTTTTCGAACATGAAATGTTCAAATTAGCATAGCTCAACGACAAAATGTGCAAATGCAACGATTTTTTCGTCACATTTGCTTAAAGGCCAGTACTTTAATAGCTACTAATCGACATTTAAAAATGATTTTTAAAAGTAGGTGAAAATTGCTGTCAAATGTGGGTGTCCTTTTTTTTTTAACCACCCTGTATTTTGTTTTCAGATTATAACGTTTACCTTACCTTTGCGTCAACAATCTTTCGTTAACTTTTAATTAGAAATGGTCCAAATAACTATAAACATGAACAGCGTCAGTCCAGTACACACAACCGTTAGCCACCCCCCCCCCCAAAAAAAATCCTGCCTTGATTTCATATGACTCAAGAGACAGGCGTAGATACAAAATTACCGGAAACCTTTTTTTTATGCAAAGGAATTATTCAAATCCTGACAATGGTTATGGAACAAAAAATACAATTTCGAACAAATTGGTTTGAAAAAATGGTAAAAATTTCTTGAATGCCTATCAACGAGTTATGATGACTAAAGCAAACCTGAATGGCAAACCAAAATCATTTCTGCACAAAACTATGTTAACCACTGTTTTGGTAATAAGTATTAAGTAACAGTTTGACTTGATATTTTGAGTGTTTATATCGTATACAAAGCAATATTTTATGTAAACTATGAATGTCGTGTGATTAGCCTTTGCATATTAATCAACATCCAGAGGGTGTGCTGTATGAATGTGTACTATTTACTGTAATCTCCAGACTTCTATCCCTTGCAAATAAAAATGTACATGGTGCGAAGATTGACAGACGTATTCTCAAGTGGCATATCCAGCGAGAGGTGAAGAATCCCTTCCGTGACATTTCAGCTTTATTTATTCATGAATAATGACCAGGGCTATTTGTTTTAAATTCCTTTTTTAAAAAGTTATGTGGACACGGCTTAGTAAACGTCAACACAACCTGCATTATGTGGGCATTTTTTGTTCACATGTCCACATGATGACTGTAAGACAAACTCAGCTATACACACACCGACACACTTCAGAACCACTGGATACGCCACCGAAGTTGTGGAATTGGGCTGGCACGTAAAGTCTTCATTTAGACATAACTGACCTTCCTTCCAGTGCTATTTGCGAAAAACTTCATTCATTGTGAATATTAATGTTGTGATCATTAAACACTTCCGCAAAAACAAAACAAGTGTTTTATATGTATTCTGTTAAAGAACCAAAAAATAGTTAGTAAAAAAACCTCGATAGGTCGGTCTCGCTCCCGTGCTCGATCGAGTGGAATATCCACACTACGTAAGAACTCGATGATCAAAATTAATCATGGACGAATCATCCACGCAAAGTTGAAAAGTTCCGCTTGATTCGTGCATCTAGTTTGAGCAATTATCATGCAATTTATGCGAAATGAGAACGAGAGCTAACACACCTATTGAGATTTTTTGTTTACCCATATTGGAGAAAGTGTCCCGGGGGGGGGGGGGTAATTTACATCGCACCATCACTCCAAAACTGTTTTCGTATTAACTTGGATGATGGTGCATGCAGTTGCCACACTATTACAGCCCAAGGAAACTCAAAAATACATCAAAAATGTAACGTGAGTAAACCGTGGAATTGCCCTGATAGTTTTCACGTACGTACTTGAAACTTATCACGTACCTACGGGAAACTAATTATCGCGTACGTACGTGAAACTTATCACGTAATTTTTTTGTGGGGGTGGGGGGTAATCTGGTAACTTTTGGGACACATTGCCTGCCGAAGATGACCACCCTAGTCTAAAAGTGGTGGCGAAGCCAATCTTCATCTTGATCAAAATGATCCCTACACTCCTTTGCAAATATAGAGCCACTATAGTCATTATAGTGGTCTCGATCTCCACCACCAAACTCGATTTGGGGCCAATAACTCAAGAAATACACGTTACATTAAAATGAATTTTCGTACACTCACTTTTCTGATATGTTTGACATCAAAAGATTTTATTTCATTAAAAAAAAGTCAAATAATCAAGCAATTATGACCGTAACAATACAGGGTTTTAATTGCGACAAATACAATCCTAATGGAAGTCACTATAATAGAGGGCGCGCCACATAAATAGTGGTCTCAACAACGCATCAATACGGATGCTGCACAAGTGAACAAAAAGAACAACCTCGTTTCCGATGAACTACTCAAGAAATACGAAATGGATTAAATTGAAATTTGGTGCAATTAGTTTTCACGATGTGTAGCATAAGTGGTTTGAATGGCGTGAGAAACCGTGGAGCTTTAAATATAATATGATCGTAACAATCTAGTGTTTTAAACGTTAAAAATCCATGTTGACTTCCATTAGGATTGTATTTGTTGCAAATAAAATTCTGTATTGTTACGGTCATAATAGCTTGATAATTTGAGGTTTTTTTATGAAATGAAATATTTTGATGCCAAACATCATGACCAATGAGTGTTCGAAAATTCATTTTAATGTGACGTGTATTTCTGGAGTTGTTGGCCCCAAATAGGGTTTGGTGGTGGAGATCTAGACCACTATAATAGAGGGCGCACCACATAAATAGTGGTCTCAACAGCGACACCCACCCATGCACAATTTTATGAGAAAACACAGTAGTGGCCCATATTAAAAAAAATTAAAAATTATAAACGCTCCTCGGGACACGAAACGGGGACATCCCAACTGGAATCCTGAGCTCGTACTAGTACTACTGACTAACTGGCTCTCGACAAAATTGTGTTCGGACCTAGTATTATACCTTTAATGTAAACACGTCCCCCCCCCCCCCCAAGTTACCCATAAACCCTCAGTACTATAGCAGATGAACAGAAACGACAACACGTGATTTGTACGCCATTTCAATTCTTCGCGGGCGTGGAAGCTGGAAAAATGTAGCTGTCGGCACAACTGCACAAGTCCAAGTAAGTTGTTATTTTCTGTCTGTAAACTCAACATTTGTACCTTAAGGTATTGAGCAAAAGCCACTGACCAAAGTGTTATAACGTGGTGATTTTTTTGGAAGAATAAAAAGGAGAATTCTCGGGCCAAATTCTCGTTAACATGGTTACATTCGTCACAAATCATGAAATGCAAATGGGTGTTTACATAAATGTGGAGGCCAGTGTGTGACATTAGGGTCAAATTTTCAACATAACCAAATTAAATTAAGTTTCACATGGTTTTGCAGTCTAGGGTCTATATTTTGTCAAAAACAAAACAGTTTTTCTGTATTAAACATGACCCTTTTTAGAGTAGCAACATGATCAACTAGCATATGGGACCCAAATTTCACCTGTAACAGTGACACCAAATTGTTAATTTCTTTTAGAGCTCTCACCAGATTATTGTTCATGTATGGTAAAGACATGTTGCTTTGTAAGCAACTATTTGCAACACATATAAGTTAAAAAAACTTTAACACTATCCTTGTTGAAAATCAAATATCAAGTTTTAGGAAATTTGACATATTATGATGATTACAAAAATGTAGCTCTCACTTGACATGAAATTATATTATTTCAAGACAAACACTCACTTGTTCTCTAAAAGCAAGTTTGACAGCCAAAACTGCAACTATGAAGAACAATGAAGATTTACAAACACCACTAGAAAGCATGTTATTGTAAGTAAAGCCTGGTGTTAATCAACATTTCACCTGTAACACTGACACCAAATAGTCACTGTTACAGAGTGACAATCCTACAACTAACTAATAATAATAGTAATAAATGGTATCAATCCATTTAAACCTTTCTATTTAGTGATAAGCTTGATGGTTTCTACATCAGATACTTGTTTCTGAGACTGGAAGTTTAAATATCAGAGTTTGTTATAATATTCATTTCACCTGTAACGCTGATGACACCAACACCAAAACACTTTTATCACTTTTCTTCACTGCAGTTCTACTTTAACCTGTCCTATGCCAAAGTTTTCATTGTATTAAAAAACTTAGTCATTATTTTAGCTAAAAACTCAATCATCAATCAAACAGGTGCTTTTGCTTCATTTTTTTCAGCTGAAAATAGGTATTTCACCTGTAACGGAGTCAGTGTTGACACCAAACCTTTATTGCCTCTTATTTCAAATTCTAAGAGAAGGATTCAAAATTTAATGACATCTATATTCCAAGCCAACATCCAGGATATATTTTTATTTAAACTTGTTGACAAACAGTTTGACAAATTCAGGGCCAAGTTCGGGCAAGGACCATTAGTCGACTAGTGGTTGATTTGTGACGTACCTTACGCCTGCGCATTGATGGCAACGTGCGAACGTCTCTAGTCAATCGCTGGTCAAAATGTCATCGCAAAACGTCTGGATCCTGGCTCTCTGCTAACGTTATAAACACGCGCGGCTATTGATTACCAGCGAAGCATCCAACCCCAGTAGGCTGGTTGCAAATAGTCGACTAGCGTAGTCAACCATCGTCGACTAGACAGAGTTCGGGCAAACGTTAGTTAACCATTGGTCAACTATAGTCCTTGCGCGAACTTGGCCCAGAGTGCAGCTGCAAAGTATCACACTGTAACGTTTTTTGATGACACCAAATTGATCTGCCAATATTTAAAATTGGTATATTTCTTGTACTTCTTTGAAATTCACTTTTGGTCTTCTTTAGTCTCTTTATTTAATAAAAGACTTCAATAATCACTTAAAATTTAGAATAGTTGACAGTTTCTACAAATATTATAATCAATGGTAAAGTTCACTCTGTAACAGCATTTGCTGACACCAAATGTTACAGAGTGATGGTATTTTTAGCGGGCATGTCAAAATGATACAAAGTTGCCGATGCACGAACACTGTATTTAATATTAAGTTTTGGGTTATCATCAATCATTTAGAATTACAAAGGACCAAATTTATCAATTGAAAGAATGAAAACTGTGCACCATTGGACAAGCTGTAAAAATGTCACGCAATTTTACCTAAAAATGTCATAATTCTGGCTAATTTTTGATCAAAATTATACAAATGCATTGTGGTGATTTAATTTTTTTTTTATTTCAGTGGGTACATAGTGGTATGGGCAATAAAGTAAAAACACAAATATTAGCAAGTTGGTTATTTTAACATGGAAATGCCCCATGAAAGGAAAGAACATGTGCATTATACCACTGGCCTCCACATTTATGTAAACACCCAAATGGCGCTGCGATAAGCACACGATTTTCCACTCGGCACGCTGACTTCAGAGGAGAAATTGAAAAGAATATGGCATCCTGACGCCAATTAATTGTTTTCATGATAATTGATTATTTATCTCCATGAACGTCAGTCATTGCAAAAGTGGGAAAGAATTACTGTAGAATCCTGACGCTTCTTCTTTGGTTGCCTACAAACTCTATGGAGAGTTGAGTTCATAATCGGAAATGTTTCTCCGACAGTCCCGTATTCATGTCTTTTCATCATTTTTGTAATGACTGACCTTTTGAGATGATATTCATGTATGAACAAAAGTGGGGAAAGATTCCCATATCTGGCCATCAATTGTCACCCTCTGCCAATGAGACTGGTCTGAACATTTCTACGTGTTTTCTCGAATAAAAACTTTAATGTTTTCCCTGCTAATTTTAACTTTTTAGGACATAGGCCTGTTATCACTTTCTGATGGCTGATAGGTCATTGAAGGGAAAAATTAGCGATGGCCAGATATGGGAATCTTTCCGCAATTATTTCAATTAGACAGTAACAACAATTCTTGAAACTTGTATAAAATATGGTCAACAGTCCCTGAAAAAAACATTGCTCAAAATATATGCATCAAAAATTGAGGGCAAAATGAGTCAAAACATAATTGGGCAATTCCATAGTACATGTATGTATGTAACTCGCCTTCCTGCACGTTTCCCGGACAGATATGCCATTCCAGAGAAATAATGCATATATGCATTAATTTGGGGACAAAACAGTTTAATATGACAATTTTCCCCCCTAAAAATGGATTAGTTTTGCCTAAAATTGTCAAAATTGTGGATGAATGTATGTTTCTCTTGCAACATGTCTGACTCTGATTCATGTGCAGATAAGTCAATTTTTGACCAAATTTGGTAAAATTTTGCCATTTGTTGTGATGGAATCAAAGTAAAACCTACATGTAGCTAAAGCTTGCCCCAGTTTGGTCAATTTATTTTTTAGCAGTAGTGAGACTCAGGATCCCCCTCTCCCCCCCCCCAAAAAAAAATATTCAAAATTCCCTAAACCTGCAAACTCAGTCATTCTTCGCCACAAAATATTGAAAAATCTGAGTTCATGCCTGACTTTGTTTAACAGTGTTTCAGAATTAGGCTGTTGCTGTTCATCGATGCTGACAATTTTTTCCATTTTTTCCTAGCATGAGACTCTCAGCAGAAGTTAAGAAAGCTGTCATCAGAACCGGTGTTGCAGACTTCAAGACAGCTCTTAAGTAGATGAAAGGAGACAAGATTTGCATCTTAGGTAAACTAACAATTTGATAAATTAATTGAGAGGGTCAAGGCATACTTTCTAAATAACTACAGTTTATAGCATTACTTTTTTCAATACTCTTAAAACCAACCAATAAACAGATATTTACCAGTGTATAGGGCCTATATATTAATGATGTACCCTAACGTGGCGCGGCCCCCAACGTGGCGCACTTTGATTTTTCGCCTGTAGCGCCTAGATAGAGCAAAAGTTTTAGCTGATATTTCACAGAAAGTGACATTTCATCAAGTTCTAAACACTCCCGTTCATAAATCGCGAGTTTATTTACCCGTTACAAAGTTAGAAGATAAACTTATTTTGGCCAGATTTTCCGATTTTATTTTCAAGTGCAAAGTGAACCCTTTGGAAATGCCCCGAAAAAATAAGAAAATAATTTTCTGACAAACATCTGGCTGGGTATGTAAATAGAGATAATAATGATTTATCAGAATTTATCAAGTTAACAGAAATTCTTAAATTTTAATTTGGAATTTTCCGAGATTTTTTTAAGTGCGCCACGTTAGGGAACACTCCGCGAATTTGTGCCCAATTTCCGGACGCCACCGTTTTTGAATTTCGGATTAAATTTTATGAAACCGAAATTGTTCACAGAGGTTAAATAGCACGCATTAATAAGGTAAAAGTACCAGTATTTTACTGCATGAATTTGAGGTTTGTCAACAAAGAGGTTTGGCAACACTACTCGAGGAAAGTTGGGTAAGCTTTGAAATGCGCCACGTTAGGGAACACGACTATATATGTATGCTCTAGACCATAAAGTTTTTGTAAGTCAATTGTAATATATTTTAAAATTTTTGAAAGCAAACTGTTTGTTGCATTTTGACGACATCTGTCTAGGAAATGTGTAGGCATGCGTTTCAGGGATTCTTGGATGTCAGTAAAGAACGTAAAGTTAACCCTTGAGACTATTTCAATTTTGGCTGAATCAAATTACTCCAAACATGCTGCAAAGATGCCCATTAGCCCCAAAACTTATCCCTACACATTTCTGCGATGGATGTGCCTTTCAACTGAAACAAAATTACATCAACTATTTTAGGCAAGATGAGTAAACATGAAAATTCACTGCCATGTTGATTATTTTTGCTCAAACCTGCAATGGTGTTTGGGTACAAATAATAAAATGTGCTCCTCTTGCACCAAAATGATTCTGGAGTCTGTGACTAGACTAGTCAGTGGTTGGTACCAAGACGTATACATGGACTCACGTAACGACTACATGGTCTTTTGCTTGTGCTTTGTCATACAGGTACACACAATTTCCTCAATTGTAAAACAAATAAATGTTTTATTTATGAAATGCATCTAATGTAAAATCCAATTTATATATTTTTCAGACATTTTTTTCCCAATAAATATGCAGTGGTTGGACCAAAACATTGCCATATATAACATCAGCCAATGCAGTAAAATAGAAAAGATATTATTTGAATAGCTTAAGTGGTAAAAAAAATATGCCACAACCATAATGTATCCAATTGAGCACTATATTTGTTCACATTATTGTGCCCTTATGATTCTGTACATTTATCCACTCTTCATCTGACCTTTTGGTGCTGGTACTCAATTTCATATCCCTTTTGTTGTGTGTTTCAACAGTTGATATGAAGCAAGATTGAAGCAAGCGCCAATCAACCAACCATCAGCCAGCCAGCCAGCCAGCCAGCCTGCAAGCCAGCCATCAACCAGCCAGGGAGTTAGCCAGCCAGCCAGCCAGCCAGCCAGCCAGCCAGCCTGCCTGCCTGCCTGCCTGCCTCCCCGCCAGCCAGCCAGCCAGCCAGCCAGCCTGCCAGCCAGCCAGGCAGCCAGCCAGCCTGCCGGGCAGCCAGCCAGCCAGCCAACCAGCCAGCCAGCCAGCCAGCCAGCCAGCCAGCCAGCCTGCCAGCCAGCCAGCCTGCAAGCCAGCCATCAACCAGCCGGGGAGTTAGCCAGCCAGCCAGCCAGCCAGCCAGCCAGCCAGCCTGCCTGCCTGCCTCCCCGCCAGCCAGCCAGCCAGCCAGCCGGCCAGCCAGCCAGCCGGCCAGCCAGCCAGCCGGCCAGCCGGGGAGCCAGCCAGCCAGCCAGCCTGCCCGCCAGCCAGCCAGCCGGCCAGCCAGCCAGCCGGCCAGCCAGCCAGCCGGCCTGCCAGCCTGCCAGCCAGCCAGCCTGCCAGCCAGCCAGCTGGAAACAAGTCAGCTAGATGTGTTCACTAAGGTAGGACTAACCCTTTGTTTCAGCCATTAGCGCTCAAATCGAGCCAGTGAACACCCAAGACCCAGGATCTCAAGACCCAAGTACAGTTTGCAAGTGGAGTCGTTCGATGGATTTCTCAGAGTGAGCCAGATTTTTCTTGTTCCCATTCAATTATTGTGTGAACAACTGAAACCACCCTTGAGAAATGTAATTGCAAATCTTCTACGACATCTCTCACGAGTAGAGTTTACACTTTATAAACCTCTAAAGTAGGGTTGAAAACAAATCAAAATTTTCATATGCTATTTTCACTGTAAGAATTTGACATTAATTTGACAAAAAATTAACTTTCACTTTTCTCTTGTAATGTGAGCATATTTTGTTTTGAGGATTGAAAAATAATCGACATGTAAAAAAAATGTATTGGAATGCTATTTTCACCGTAAGAATTTGACATAACGTTTTTCCAGTGTGGTTCAGATAGGTGTTGTGACCATGTGGGTTCAGTCATGTGGTTGCTAAGGCAAAGCATCTGCCGTTGTGAAGCAAAGCTAATCTACTTACGTACTTAAACGCTATAGCAGAGCAGTGATATTCATGCACCACAAAAAAATCATGGCCTTTGGAACGTTGTGTTTCTTATGCAAAGTATGATTGAAAAGTTAAATTATAATGGAAGAAGAAATTCTTAGCTTCATGTCAGTAAAAATATCGCCGTTTTCATCAATGCCAAAACGTCAATACTGGTTACTGGTATAGCTGACCTTCGAAAACTTCCCCAAATCTCTGTATTTATATCTTTTTCTCTAGGAATTTCTCAAAATTGTTATTTCGCGAGAAGTTGAACACTTATATCATCTAAGTATATTCCGAATTTCAGCTTAATATGTTGTTGCAAACGCTAGTGCTACAATTTGAACCATCTCCATGGAAAATATCGACGATGATTTCTGCCAACCCAAGTAACATGCTCCTTAGGTGCTACGGTTGACCGATTTTGGCCAAGCCACGCAATTTCGTATTGTAGATTAGCATATTCATCAGTGTCTCTCTGCGTGTTTTGGCATGAGTCTCGGTATCAACCAATGGAAGCTGGCGAAAAGGGTGATATTTATCAATTAACTCGTGAAGGAGGCTTTTCTCAAAATTTTGCTGCACACCATAATGGATAGGAACCTTATTAATATTCGTGAGGCTTGACAAGAACAGCTGTTGCAAACGTCAGTGTTACAACTCTCAATGATGCACGTATTTAGCCAGGAATATTTATCAAATTTCAACGAAAGTTATGAACACATCACAACGATTTTTAGCACATACTTGGATCATTATGAGTAAGGTAAGCCCCGAAAGTTTCATGAAGATACGGTTTTCGAAACGGGAGAAATCAATTTTCAAAGATGAAATGTTGTGTAACCTTTAGAAATCGCCCTTGGCAACCACATGACTGGGTTGGTGGTGGTGCATGTATGTGTTTTGGGGTGGTGGTTTTTCCGCAGGTCGTCGGCTCAAATTGAGCATGTGTCATCGGCTCAAATTGAGCGTTCGCTGCAAACACTCCAGGATCAAGATGGATTATGGGATCTGTATATCCCTACATCCAAACGCAACACCAGCAGGACTATGGGATCATCTATATCCCCGTGTCCATCTAGGGGTGGATCTTGGGTGGCAATCGTGGGGGGGGGGGGGGGAATCTACTCCATGTGAAGCAAAATTTGATAATTTTTGGCCTCAGTACTATTAGTGGGAAACTTGCCCCCTGGATCTGCCCCTGCTGCAAGGCTCCAATAAATTGTACCTAATTAGCTTGTGCACTGCCTTTATGGCATAAACATTCTTTAGAAGTAAACCCCTCATTTTAGACTGTCATCTTTGAATCAATAGCAAGACAACAATCAGCCAAGCCAGCCGGGGAGCCAGCCAGCCAGCCAGCCAGCCATCGGAAAATCATTTTTTTTTAAAAATAAATTGGATCACCAATTAGTGAAATGAAAATTTCACTCTCTAAATAGGGTTTTTCTTTAGTTCAGGGGATCTGCTATATCCCGCTGAAAACTTATAAGGCTATGGGATCTCCTATATCCCTATGCCGTTAGGGCTTAGGGTGGTGCGGCGGTATCGATTACTAATCGGAGTCTGACTGGGTGCTTCAATTGAGGTGCGGCGAAAATCCAGCACAGATTCAAGGGGCGAGTTGCGTCCGCGTGGTAGGTCCGCCTTCCACGTGGGGCGTGGGTCCTACGCAGCGGCCTGGAAACCCTAGGATGCCGTGCCATAAAGGAGCAGGTAGTGCGTCCCTCTTTATAGGGGCGTGGCCCTGTATTCACAGCCGGCAAACGCTGCTACTTCCTATCAGACCGCATGAACCCGTAATGGGGGATGGACTTAGGGGGGCACGCATATAGGTTAGGGTGCTTTCCTGGTCCTTCGGGGCTGGGCGGGCGGACCGGACAGTCGATAACTGTGTCTGGCCCTCCGGGGCCTACCTTTTATCCAGCAATGGGCCTGACGATACTGAAAGCGTGTTGGGGCTGGTATCCTGGGACCTTCTCGTGGTGGCCCTGTTTAAACAGACCTTACCAGGATATTTGACCTGCTCAGTGAACAGGAATCAGTTAATCACAATTTGAATTCGTCATTGTGGCATTAATTTAAAAAAAAAAAAAAAAAAATCGGTTTTCTAATAACAAAAGATATAAATCTCTGAACACTATACCATTTTGGTCCAAATTTGGCATTTCCATTTCATCCTATTTGAAACCCATTTGAAAAATTGCTCCAAAAAGTTGTTTTCAGTAATTCTGAATCATGTTCACTGAGCGGATCACATCAATTCATATTTTATTTCCAAAAAGGATGGAAGATTAGGGGCTGATTGCCTTAAAACACCAAAAGCTTTAATAAAAAAAACATTCAATTCCATGACAAGAGGAAGTTTTGCGAAAAGAAATTCAAATTTGCAGTCAAAATCCAATGAGATCTTATTAGCGATGAGATAACTGTGCTTCAGTTTTAAAAAATGAAATATTAAGAACATGGGAAAAAATAACCGGAAAAGAAATATTTGAAAAGGAATTGAATTAAGAAAGAACATTAATTGTTGATTTGAAAAAACAACATGCTTGGATCATTGTGCCAATTGGTGCACTCTTGAATATGGAAAAGGGTTTGGTGTTGAAATAAAAAAGGACAAATAGTGCAAGAGAAGTACCTAGAGTTGAAGAACATCTATCAAACATCACCTCAGAATTGTTTTTAATTTAAAAGACGATTCTGGTTAAAACATTTGGTAAAATTGTTGTATTTATTTATCTATTTCTTGAGGTAAATTTCATCCGACAGCACAAATGATGGAGGCAGATGGCATCAGAGTCTAGAGAAAATTGTCTCGTCAAAACTGAGCAGAGTGAACATCTTAGTGGTAAGCATAAGAATGAGCAAACTTCTTTTTAACCTGGCTGATTTAATTAACAACTTTCCAAACCTAAAATCTAAATCCAATGTTTTACCACCAAAATTAGATCCTCCCATGCTTACTTTTCTCCAAAAAAAGCCTCATAAAAAAACAAAAAGAAAGTAGCGCTTGAGAACCACACCTTGCCTTAATGTGTAAGAAAATACAATGTATATTGCAACTGTTAATTTGCATTGCTGATATTTCTTGATTTATTTTTGTATTTTCAGCAGATGTACTGACTACGAAAAGGCAAAATTATGGAGACCTCGGAACAAGATTGTATGTTTACTGAGGTAACTATTCTCAGTTGTTGTTGAATTATTGACTGAAGCAATCCTAATGAGACAATTTTCACTTGTGACTCGTTCTTGCAAAACCCGAAGGTTCTTGTAGGCCAAGGCAAGTAAAACACTAGTGCACTTTAGACCATGGAAATGGTGTATAACTGCTCAAAATGTTTGTTTAATCAATTTTGATACAGTTGCATTTCTACACTGGATGGGGTGTTTTGCAAATGAATTTTCTAAAATTGCAGGAAGCAACCAAATTTTCATTTGTGTTTGAGACCTTTCAATAATGTATTTCCTTAAAATAATGTCTTTCCAATATATCTCTGGCAAACAGTTGAATTGCCACATCTAGATTCAATTTCAATATGGGAAAAAGTGCTACAGATATTTTATTATAATGATACTTAAAAACCATTTGCGTTCTTTTCTTGAAGGTTTTCCGAAGACGTCTTCTGGCAGAAACATCTTGGAGGACATTGGCCAAGAAGGAGGTACAAACTACATGAGGCTACAACATGAAGCTTCACTCTAACCTATGATGTCTACTTTTGGAACTTTTTCATTTCTCTCAAAATGCTTCTCAATTTGGAAAGGCCTTTGTCTATAAAACTAGGAAACAGTCAAAATCAGGCACAACTGAACCCCCCCCCCCCAATGTTATCATCTTTGCCCAAATATTCAAAACTGATTGGTAATGAGTGATATTAAATGTTTGACCACAAATCTCGGTAAAATGTAAGGTTAACCCCTTGTCATTTTTTGGCCAATTTTGCGTTGAAAGTGAAATTGCTGCAAACTCGCAGTGAAGATGCTCAACCTGAAGCACGTTTCTACACGTCTCCTGGATAGATAGGACAAAATCGATCAGTAATGAAATGTTTCTTCAAAAATCATTTACTTTTGTGCAATACATTCAAGTTGTTTATTGATGAATACTTAATGAATCTCCTCTTGCATCAACAGGGATTTCTGTGTCGTTTGTAAGAAAGTAACCCTTTGATCAATTTAGTGGAAAATGTAAGGTTAACCCCTTGCTATTTATAATTAAATTTTGTTACAAATCGCCTTGTCTTTATTTCAACCTGATATCAGAGGTGTCCTTGCTCACGTTTTGTAACCTTTGGAAAAGGCACGTTATAAATGTTGTTGTTATTATTATTACATGTACCTGTTGAAGATAAACATGTTTTTCTTCTCCAATATCTGATTAATTCAGAGATTCAATAAAACAAATATGGTGAAAAAAAAGTATATTTTGTACTGATTTTCATTTGGCGTATTCTGAATGACAAGTTTATTTCGTCAAAGTTACTTGTATGACATTCTTAATTCGTTTACCAACGGAAGTTGAAAACAAGTTTACTTATTGGTGTGTCAGAAGTTGAGTTATGCTACAAAACATGTACTTGTCCATGTAAAATTTAAATCTATTTACCTATTTTTATCCGACTTTATTTTATGAGTGAGATATTGAATAACAGCTGTTGAACTGTTTTTATTTAATGTTGAGAAACAAGTACTGGAATAAATACAGTAAAACTGATTTAAAGCCAATCTTTGGAGTCTTTATTATGACTGAATAATACAGTGAATTTAGCTCAAGGGTTGAAAGACTTGGAACACTGTTGATTGCCCCTGGGATGGAGGTTAACAGCCCTGGGAACAAGGTTTATGCCCTGGGAATGAGGTTAACAGCCCTGGGAACAAGGTTGATGCCCTGGGAAGGAGGTTAACAGCCCTGGGAACAAGGTTGGTGCACTGGGAAGGAGGTTAACAGCCCTGGGAACAAGGTTGATGCCACTGGGGATGAGGATGAAATGGACTAAAATATACAAACTTGTTCAAAACTTGTTTTTAAATTCAATCATTTATTTGTACCATAACGCTTGTATAAACCAGATGAAGAATTTAAAAACGGGTTATCTTGCATTAATAAGTATTTCTAAGTCGTTTGCAGAAAAGTCTATTTTTGGCCCAATTTAACGAAAAATATAAGGTTAACCCCTTGCAATTTTTTTCAATTTTGGCCGAAAAATAAAGTTACATAAAATTACACTAAAGATGCCCAAGGGTTCCTTAAACACATTCCTACACATTTCCTGGACTTTCAGAAGAAAGAATGCATAAATATTTTAAGCAAAATAAGTCCAAAATGATAATTTGTGACCAAAAACTGGATTATTTTTGCCCAATTTCTCAAAATTCTCGATGTATGAATACTGAAATGTGTTCCTGGTGCATCAAGAGGTATTTCTGAGTCGTTTACAGAAAAGTCAATTTTTGGCCCAATTTAACGAAAAATGTAAGGCTAACCCCTTGTTTTTTTGTCAATTTTGGCCCCAAAAATAAAGTTGCTTAAAAATTACACAAAAGATGCCCAAGGGTCCCTTAAACACATTCCTACACATTTCCTGGACAAAAAGTGCCATTTAGAAGAAAGAATGCATCAATATTTTAAGCAAAATAAGTCCAAAATGATAATTTTTGACCAAAAACTGGATTACTTTTGCCCAATTTCTCAAAATTCTCGATGTATGAATACTGAAATGTGTTCCTGGTGCACCAAGAGGTATTTCTGAGTCGTTTACAGAAAAGTCAACATTTGCCCAAATTTCAGTAAAAATGTAAGGCTAACCCCTTGTTTTTTTTTCAATTTTGGCCAAAAAAAAAAGTTGCTCAAAAATTACACGAAAGATGCCCAAGGGTCCCTTAAACACATTCCTACACATTTTCTGGACAAAAAGTGCCATTTAGAAGAAAGAATGCATAAATATTTTAAGCAAAATAAGTCCAAAATGATAATTTTTGACCAAAAATTTGAATCTTTTTGCCCAATTTCTTAAAATTCTCGATGTTTGAATACTGAAATGTGTTCCTGGTGCATCAAGAGGTATTTCTGAGTCGTTTACAGAAAAGTCAATTTTTGGCCAAATTTCAGTAAAAATGTAAGGCTAACCCCTTGGTTTTTTTTTTCAATTTTGGCCAAAAAAAAAGTTGCTCACAAATTACATGAAAGACGCCCAAGGGTCCCTTATACACATTCCTACACATTTTCTGGACAAAAAGTGCCATTTAGAAGAAAGAATGCATAAATATTTTAAGCAAAATATGTCCAAAATGATAATTTGTGACCAAAAACTGGATTATTTTTGCCCAATTTCTCAAAATTCTCAATGTTTGAATACTGAAATGTGTTCCTGGTGCATCAAGAGGTATTTCTGAGTCGTTTACAGAAAAGTCAATTTTTGGCCAAATTTCAGTAAAAATGTAAGGCTAACCCCTTGTTTTTTTTTCAATTTTGGCCAAAAAAAAAGTTGCTCACAAATTACATGAAAGACGCCCAAGGGTCCCTTATACACATTCCTACACATTTTCTGGACAAAAAGTGCCATTTAGAAGAAAGAATGCATAAATATTTTAAGCAAAATAAGTCCAAAATGATAATTTGTGACCAAAAACTGGATTATTTTTGCCCAATTTCTCAAAATTCTCAATGTTTGAATACTGAAATGTGTTCCTGGTGCATCAAGAGGTATTTCTGAGTCGTTTACAGAAAAGTCAATTTTTGGCCAAATTTCGGTACAAATGTAAGGCTAACCCCTTGGTTTTATTTTCAATTTTGGCCAAAAAATAAAGTTGCTTAAAAATTACACGAAAGATGCCCAAGGGTCCCTTAAACACATTCCTACACATTTCCTGGACAAAAAATGCCATTTAGAAGAAAGAATGCATCAATATTTTAAGCAAAATAAGTCCAAAATGATAATTTGTGACCCAAAACTGGATTATTTTTGCCCAATTTCTCAAAATTCTCGATGTATGAATACTGAAATGTGTTCCTGGTGCATCAAGAGGTATTTCTGAGTCGTTTACAGAAAAGTCAATTTTTGGCCAAATTTCAGTAAAAATGTAAGGCTAACCCCTTGTTTTTTTTTTCAATTTTGGCCAAAAAATAAAGTTGCTTAAAAATTACACGAAAGATGCCCAAGGGTCCCTTAAACACATTCCTACACATTTCCTGGACAAAAAGTGCCATTTAGAAGAAAGAATGCATCAATATTTTAAGCAAAATAAGTCCAAAATGATAATTTGTGACCCAAAACTGGATTATTTTTGCCCAATATCTCAAAATTCTCGATGTATGAATACTGAAATGTGTTCCTGGTGCATCAAAAGGTATTTCTGAGTCGTTTACAGAAAAGTCAATTTTTGGCCAAATTTCAGTAAAAATGTAAGGCTAACCCCTTGTTTTTTTTTCAATTTTGGCCCAAAAAATGAAGTTGCTTAAAAATTACACGAAAGACGCCCAAGGGTCCCTTAAACAATTCCTACACAATTCCTGGACAAAAAGTGCCATTTAGAAGAAAGAATGCATCAATATTTTAAGCAAAATAAGTCCAAAATGATAATTTGTGACCAAAAACTGGATTATTTTTGCCCAATTTCTCAAAATTCTCAATGTTTGAATACTGAAATGTGTTCCTGGTGCATCAAGAGGTATTTCTGAGTCGTTTACAGAAAAGTCAATTTTTGGCCAAATTTCAGTAAAAATGTAAGGCTAACCCCTTGGTTTTTTTTTCAATTTTGGCCAAAAAAAAAGGTGCTCACAAATTACTTGAAAGACGCCCAAGGGTCCCTTAAACACATTCCTACACATTTTCTGGACAAAAAGTGCAATTTAGAAGAAAGAACGCATAAATATTTTAAGCAAAATAAGTCCAAAATGATAATTTGTGACCAAAACCTGGATTATTTTTGCCCAATTTCTCAAAATTCTCGATGTATGAATACTGAAATGTGTTCCTGGTGCATCAAGAGGTATTTCTGAGTCGTTTACAGAAAAGTCAATTTTTGGCCCAATTTAACGAAAAATGTAAGGCTAACCCCTTGTTTTTTTGTCAATTTTGGCCCCAAAAATAAAGTTGCTTAAAAATTACACAAAAGATGCCCAAGGGTCCCTTAAACACATTCCTACACATTTCCTGGACAAAAAGTGCCATTTAGAAGAAAGAATGCATCAATATTTTAAGCAAAATAAGTCCAAAATGATAATTTTTGACCAAAAACTGGATTACTTTTGCCCAATTTCTCAAAATTCTCGATGTTTGAATACTGAAATGTGTTCCTGGTGCTTCAAGAGGTATTTCTGAGTCGTTTACAGAAAAGTCAATTTTTGGCCAAATTGCATTAAAAATGTTTTTTTTTCAATTTTGGCAAAAAATAAAGTTGCTTAAAAATTACACGAAAGACGCCCAAGGGTCCCTTAAACACATTCCTACACATTTCCTAGACAAAAAGTGCCATTTAGAAGAAAGAATGCATCAATATTTTAAGCAAAATAAGTCCAAAATGATAATTTTTGACCAAAAACTGGATTATATTTGCCCAATTTCTCAAAATTCTCGATGTTTGAATACTGAAATGTGTTCCTGGTGCATCAAGAGGTATTTCTGAGTCGTTTACAGAAAAGTCAATTTTTGGCCAAATCGCATTTAAAATGTAAGGCTAACCCCTTGTTTTTTTTTCAATTTTGGCAAAAAATAAAGTTGCTCAAAAATTACAAGAAAGATGCCCAAGGGTCCCTTAAACACATTCCCTACACATTTCCTGGACAGAAAATTTATACAGTAATTATTCCATAATCACACATGGGTTGATTTTCAATCAATGCATCATTCAAAAAAAAAATGAATAACTTTTTGCATTGCTAGAAAGGTAGTAGTTAAAAAACAAAACCATTTCCTATTGAGAAATAATTTGCTTAATTTAGTGATGTCAAAATAGAAACAATAATCTCCATGTGCGTGCAACTGGTTAGCACAATTCAAAACGTACCATGACAATGGCATCTAGGTTCCATCTGAGAGTTTTGCCTTTTTGACAATATGGTACCTGGGTCTTAGCTGCTGTAGTCGTCTCTTCTTGGCTTCCTTCTTGTTCTGATGCTTCTTCTCTTTATGTTTTGCTGCTTGAACTGGATCAGCAACAGCCTGAACATGAGAGGGGGGGGGGAGAACAAGACAATCAATGAATGAGGAAAACAGAGGAAAGGGGCAAAATCTGACTTAATCTTACGTCATGCAAGAGTGTTTTGGTAAGACATATGTGTCAACACACAGAACAATGAATACAACCAAACTGACCATCACAAATTTTCAACAGTGTTTCTGTGTAACAGCTTTGTCATTCCCAAGTCTGATAGTTTTCTGCATCATTTAAAAGTTGAATTTAAATCACTTATTGAAAATTATTGCTGTGCTCTTTATTCTTCACAGTTCACAATTCACTTGGTTACAGTTTATTTGAATAGCTTGTGACTTGACTTGAGTCTGGATGACTTGTGATGACATGTGATGACTTGTGATGACTAGTGATGACTTGTGATGACTTGTGATGACTTATGATAACTTGTGACGACTTGATATGACTTATGGTGACTTTAATATCATCATTATTAAAGTCCTCACAAGTGAAGAGTCCCTTAAACACGTTCCTACATGTTTCCTGGACAAAAAGTGCCAGTCCAAAGAAATAATGCATAAATTGATATGACTTGTGACTGACTCGATTACAGCCCCTAGGAAAAGTGACTCTTATTTACCTGTAGCGCCCTCTGTTGTTTGCGTTGGATTCTGGTCTGTGTGATGACCCTTTGGACGTCGGCATAAGCATGAGAGAATGTCTCCAATCCCACAAGGCCCTTGATGAGATCCAATGCTTCCTGACAAAGCTGACGAAGATCGTTGTCTGGTGGAGAAATCAAGACAAGAAAGTCTGATTACTAAAAACCAATCAAGAAAAGCATCGCTGTAGATCCAGAAAACAACAATCGTACTTGTTCATTCACAATGAGAGTAATATCAAGAAGTATCAGTTTCTTTAACAGTCTCAGTGAATTGACACGAACTGTGCTATACACGATATCAGAAACTACTTCTAAAAGATTTAATCAGTGGCTTCTAAAATTTCAATTCATAATTTACACAGATCTCACGGTTTTTTTATGGTTCAACACCTTATCAAATACAACTAAAATCCCTGAATGCATAGTGAATAATATAGTAAAATATTTTTAATGGTATAATTTAATTTCCCCTTTAAAACATAGGAACTCAAAAGGCTGCTGAAGCTGCATTTCAAACTGTAAATGAATATTCAAATCCGACAAGGCAAACCATCTGATGTAATCGAACATTCAGAATGAAACCGTGCTAAAATTGACATTTTTCCAGCTTTTGTATTCACAAATCATGCTTCTTACTGTTTCTGTTTGACATTGTTCATTGTTTAAAACATTCCCTCAAAAACTAGTTCAGCAGAAGTGTTCACACAATAGATGTGTCTCACCTGCGTGTGACTTTTGATCGCCGATCTCCCGACACATCGGCTTCATCATTAGCTTCAGATAACTGGGCAATCTGTCTCCTCCTACATCCATTGCCATGGCAGCAAGCCACTTGACAACACAAGTCCGTCTTAGGGTCTGTTTGGGTGTCTTGGCTGCCTCGGAGGCAGCGATGCGACACATCCTCCTCAAGAACCAAGTCAAGTCAGCGGGGCTCGGAGTCCGACGTCCAAGTCCTTGTTTGTCCGTGTTGGTGGTATTCTGCTCTGCAGAGAGCTTGGGAGTCCTTTCATCATTTTCATCATCATTTTCATCTTCACTGTCCAATCTCTCCTCCGTTTGGTAAATCTCAGTTTTATCCGGATACAAACGGTGGATGACTTTTCCAAGGAACACAAGATTTCTCACAACCTGAAATAAATTCAGTCATCAGAATAATTCAATTATCATAATATTGTCAAAACACAAAACTGTCAGAAACTAACCAGGTATCTTGTTAATAAAAATTTGAAGACTCAAGAATCTACCTTCTTGGGCTGCAAACATTTCATGTTTTAATTAAAATTGACACGAATTGGATAAATGTCACATCAAAATCACAATGGTCCAAGACATATAGTCGAGTCAATCATAATTTCAGTTACATGTCAATCACAAGTGAGTTCACACATAAGGCCAAAAGAACAATAAACCTAAATTACAATGCAAGTGCCCAAATTTGACTGAGAATTAGGCAGAAATATGCTCTCAAGTGCTTATGCTTGAAGAAGATAAATCCTAATGATTTCTTACCTGATCTCCAAGATCTTTGTTCAGCAAGGCCGACTGAAACTGCTTGCAAAATGTAAAGACTAACTCCCTGACGATTTCCTGTCCATGGTTCAATGGATACTCCACCGCCTCCATTTTACCTGTGACTCCGCCCCTTTCTTTATCAGCCTTCCTCTTGCGTTTTGTCTTCTTCCCCATCCGATTCTCATTGGCCGAGGTGTTGGTAGTCCAGGTACCAGACGCAGCTTTCAGCATGGTTCCGGCAATGATGTCTGGTTGTTTAGAAGCAAACAGGTGTCCAAAGAGCTGGGCCGAAACCAGACGCACCCAGGAGTGCGGATGGAGAAGATGAGATTGGATGGAATCTGAAGAAATCAGAAAAGATCAAATTATTTCAAAGTGAATGAATTTTTGGTTTATCCGTTGAGTTGGCATTGGGGTTTTGACTAAAACCCTCTGCACTGGTTAGTAGAATACTGGGGTTTCAGTTTTAGTCAAATAAACTTACGACTACTTGTTACATTTCTTTTGTTTTTCAACAGCTTTTGGAAGGGTGAAAATAAATATAAATGATAAAATTTATTCAGATTCAGACATCCTAGAAAAACTATTCTGATTGTTTTTGCAGGTTCCACTAGCCAAGCTAACCAGTGCTGGCATTTGCTACTACTTTATCTCACTCCAAACCTTACCCCAGATTGCATTCAGGGTGTCTGTGTACGCCTTGTTGCCGATGATTGAACAGTGTTTAATCATCTTGGCTAACGCTGATAGCAAGTTGAACAACATGTGATCTGTATGTCTCTCCTCCACAGATGTATCATCTGTCTCCATCGCAGACATGCCATCCTGAGCAAGGACAAAATAAAGAGAAATTCATCATCGTAACCATTTTGTTAGGGGGGGGGGGGTAGGGAGGTTGACGGGAAAAACAGTGTGGGACCAGTGATTCTTACAAGCGGCGCCAACTCATCAATTTCAAGAAGTGTTGAACCCTTACTCTACTTCAGCCTCCAAAAATAAATATTCACTTGAAGAGAATGCCCAATTCCACCTGTTTCCAGGGTGAGCTTTACTATGTGGGTGAATAGCCACATGGCAAGCAATGTCAAGGCAATCGTCTGCTAAGCCCATGCCTACCTTCTGCAACCCATCTGGTTTGATATGTTCCTGTATCTGAGGAAGTATGTCATCCAACCGTCGCTGGAAACCTGCCTCCTCGGCATCGACAAAGATGCCACAAAGCTGTGAGGCAAGATGCTGATGGGCTGGATTGTCGTCATGGAGCCAGTGGGTTACCATGGTGAAGAGTTTGTCTCTCTTCTCTACCCGTAACTGGAAACAAAAAAAAATGACAAAAACAAAACATAAAAAGTAGGCCAAGAATTATGATAGGCCAATGAAATAAATAATAATCTGTATTCAATTTCTTCTAAATGATTAAAAACCTGGCTATTTCTGACACAATTTGAGGAGAAAAATTTACACTGGTTGCTCTGAAGTTAATTTCCATTCAATGGACAATTCTTTTGTAGGTTGAGGTAGCTTGCTCCAGTGGTAACTCTATTGTCTGAATGATGCCTTATCTAATGACTTCATGAGTGAAAAAATAAAAATTCTACACTGTATGGCATTCCAATTTTATAATTTTTTTGGACATAATAAAACATTATTTTTTTACCTTCTGCAGCAATGACTTGATGGCCAATGCAGTGATCTTGTGACATTTAGCTGATTCATCGTTGACTAGTCTTGTTGCCATGGGAATAAAAAACATCCCTGCATATGTCTCCAGTGTTTTCTGTATCAATAACACCAAAAAGTAGATCTAAAAATCAAAGAATGTTTTTCAGTATTAAATTGTTTTAACTGATGCTCAGAGTATTAAACTCCAAATGTTAACAAAAATTGTTGAGCATTATCTTATTAATTATATTCAATAGCCTAAGATAATATTCCATTTTTTAGGTAATAGTATCACACCTCTGAGTTATGGAACAATAATTTAATATGAAACTTACAAGTCTAAATATGATGAATTGAGCTCATCAATAGAAAATTCCCCAAAAAGGAGGATTTCTGACCTGTGGGAATGATGAGAAGATAGTGGCCAGCATCTCCAGCGAGGATTCACGGCCAGTCTCAAGGTCAAAGTTCAACTGTCTGACATAGAACTCTAGGTGGCGCTTCAGTTTGTTCCCAAGAGGGTAGTCCAGAAGGAAATTCAGTACAACCTGTGAAAGAAGAAACATGCAAGAAATATTGCTGGTTTGTGCAAAAGTGCAAAACATCAAGAGTGCAAAATCAAAACATTAGATTTTGCTTACTTTTAAACTTATATTTTTTTTAGGTCTTTAGAATTAGACAGTCGTTTTCAAATATTTCTTATTTCTCATCAATTTATGTCCACACTCCTTATTTAAAAACAACGACTAGATAAATGTCCAATAAATAATTGCAACCACAAAGATATAACCGCCAGTCAATTCAACAGTATAGTCAAAAGGTTCATTTGAAAAGCTTGTGATGGGACTGGATGACTTGTGAAGACTTATGACAGACTCAACTACAGCCTTGCCCCAAAACTGTAAACATTCAAAAATCTATCTTACAATTCTTGAAATCCTACTTATAGTTAGGGAGGAACATTCTTGGTACAAAGAAAAGCTTGAAATCCTACTTATGCTCAGTCTTTACTATACCTGTCTGCATTGTAATCTGACTGAAGGACTCTCTGATGTAATCGATAGCTGAGCAACCTTCTTTATCACATCGTGCATCTCGGGTACAATCAACTTCCTCGAAAGAATAGCCTGATGAAAACTAAACAGAATTGATTTTCAGGTGAATAAAGCTACTAGACAGAAGCGTGATTTGAACCTGCAACCTTCAAATACTGCACAGGTGTTTGACAGACTGAGCTATCAAGCCCTCAGTTTGCATTCTCTCAGGTGAGGAAAGTACCGCTATGGCAGTCTTAATGCCTCAGCATCATAGTAGGTGAGGCTGTGATCTCATTTTAAGAGAAGGATATTCTTGGACCATGCTTCTTTTTGTGAGTGCATAAGAAGACCTTCTTCATGCCAAGAATAGAAAGCCAGGTGTTAACCATTTACCTTGAGTAGACCGAATGCCGTGGCTTGTCTGGTGTGATCATGCATGTCTTCCTCTGCGTAGGTCAGTAGAACCTGTAGTTGTTTCTCATCGATCATGTGTTGCTTCACATCACGGACTAGCACTGTGACAGCCTACAAACAATGACAAGTCAATCACAAGTCAGTCACAAATAGAACACAAGTCAATCACAAGTCAATTGCAAGTGTATCACAAGTAAAGCACATGTCAAATACAGTACACGTAGTCAACCATGAGTCAATCATGGATGAATTTCAAGTCAAGCACAAGCCAATCACATAGCAATTAAAATTTTAACACAAGTTTATCACAAGTCAATCACAAGATGATTATCTTATGATTGACTTGTGATAGAAGTAAAAAACAAGTCAATCACACATGTCAATCACAAGTCAAGCAGTCTTAAGTCAAGTCACAAGCTTTTCCAATAATTTGCAACATCAGGCATTCCTTTCTCACATTCCTTTCTCACTTGAGACAAGACTTGTGAGAGACTCAACGACAACTATAAATTCAATTTATATTTATTCCATTCATTCTGCTAGAATAACATGGCTTAATAATTGTTTTCTGATTTGAGGTTTTAAATGAACGATACAGTGTTCTCCAACTTTGAAAATTAAAGGTTGGCGCTGGGGTCGGTGGGGACTCCTGCGAGCGCGAAGCCCTTACGGCGTGGGGTCCGGGGCCCGCTTAAGGGCCCCGGAAAAATTTTGGATTCTAGATGCTCTGTGGTGCAATCTGAGGCGATTCTCCAGGCTAGTTCCCCCGATTTTTTTAGCATTCAAAAATTTCCTTTTCAACCTAAAGCAGACTTCTCTCAGATCAAATGACACCTTTTTGTAATTTTGAAAAACAAAATGGGATACAAATTACGTTTTTTTTAACGCGATTTTATGGGTGGTGCTGGTGCCGTGCGATCGTCATCTTTATTTTCATGTTGCGTTTTGTCGTTGTCAGAGTCATTTTCCCCCCAAATTTCCCTCTATTTATGACCTACCTGTATGTTCTTAAATGTCGCCAACTAGTTTGGTAAGTCAAATAAATTAAAAGTGGATTTTGTTCTCTTAGGGAACCGGGCCCATACACGATCGCCATTTATAACTTTTGACAATCGGCATGATCGGAACACCATGTGCACGCGTGTTTTGGCTTCGAGCTCGTTTGCCTCGTACAAAAAAATCAATGCGTATTGTGTACCGCGCGTGCAATTGCACTGAGAAAAAGAAAGTCGGTTGGCTGCACGTAAGATCTGCCGTACGTACTCCTGCTGGTGTGTGTGTGTACTAATACAGATATCTATTTTTGCGGCGGGGTTGTCGCTATCTGAAGTATCGGCACACTCCGGAACTGGGATTCAGTTGTCAGTGTGTGTACATCGCGCGTACCTAATAGTATAGTACGTACAGTGCATGGGGAATTGCTGGTGTTTGCACGGCCGGCCGTGCGTGTGATTGATTCAGCGAGATTTTAAGACAACCCCGATCGGGCTGGGATGACATCGAAATACATTGTTAATGTGTGAAAAAACAACTGAAATCAATTATTTTAGTTGTAAATGTACACTGTAGAGTCAAAAAAATTAAACCTGGCGGCAGGATTTTAAAGCTTGGCGGGGACTTCTTAAACATGGCGGGCGCCGCAGAAAGCATGGCGGGGCGCCAGGTTTGTTCTACATGTTGGAGAACACTGCGATATCAAAAACATATGTTTCGTTCATCTGACCTTGAAACAGCTGACGACGATGTCAAAGTTAGCTCCTTTTGCTGCTCCCGCCATCGCGTGGGTGTGCAGGATTTTGAAGAGTATCTTCGTCAATCTGAATGCACTTTTGCTGATGGAGGGCAGAGGGTATCGTAGCATCCATGTGATGCAACGGAGGGCCACTACTGTCACCTAGACAAAGGATGCCATGGATGTCAAAAGTATATTAAAATTCAGTTTTGTGGAATCTGTTCAAATATTTGATCGAACCTTCTTGTGTGGAGAGGACAGATTGGGCTGTAGGGCTGGGAAAATGAGCTTCAGTTTATCTGCAGCGAGAAAGCTGCCATCCTGGTCTCTGACTAGCTGGGTAATGTACAGATCTCCTATCAGAAGGGCATGTACACATGTGGGGTTGGTTCTGTGAGAAAAAAAATGTAAAACAATCAAAAATAATTTTCACTCTTTCTAGTTTACTTTCTTTCAAACTACTTGGCACCACAACACACCTCAGTTGTGGTAAATTTGCTAACCTTCACAGTTTACAGACTAACAATGATAAGTACTAAAAGTAAACAAGATTTTTGTTTAATCATTTGCGACATCCATACCAAAACCAGCAAACAAAAAACCAATCTCTTGCTATAAAGTGTCTGATTTAAGCACGGGGTACCACATTTTATAAATGGTGGGTCATCCTGCGACCTAGCATTTTTCTCTTAACAAAACAAAGACAATAAGTACCTCAGAATATTCCAAACAAAGTCTTCCTGTACTAAGGACTGCATGGGTTGCCCCTGGCCACACTGTAGCAATGAGCACACGGCCACCGACAGCAGATACAGAAGCATGTCTGAACAAATAAACACAAACAAAATGAGAACATCAGTTTTCTGGTTTTAGGATACTCGGGGAAAAAAAAACTTGGGCTTCAAAGAGACATAAACCAGAGGCCATTGTCAAAGAGTTTCATAACATTTGATCTATTAATCAAGTTGTAAATTTATGAATTCCTAAGGCATTAAAAATGCTGAAGTCACATACCTTTGACTGTCTCATCTTTCTGATTTTCAGCAACATCCCCCAATGTCGTTATGAGACTGTTGAGTTTGGGAACAACTCTCGCCTTGTCAAGAGGTCTGTCAAAAGAGGAAGGAAAAAACACACTCTGTTAGTGGTTAATTATTACATAATTATACCTGCGCACTACTAGCAACATGGGTTTGCATGAAGACAGCCAAACAATGATTCTTGCAAAAAGTTGCTCCTACATGTAATTCTCGTTTTAGAAATCTCAGGTGAATTACAACAATCTTCAGAATAAAACCTTGTCTTACCTGGTGCTAGGCAAACACACGAGGGCAGCCCACAACACTGATACTACGTTGTCTTGTCTCAGTAACTCAGGACTGAATTCAAGGAGGGACAGGAGATATTCTGGGAAGTTGTCCGCTTGTTTCTTGTTCTTCTTGCTCTTGGATTGGCTATTTAGCAAAAAAGTTACAAATGAAACAAGATATATATTCTTAATTGTTGTTGAATTTCAAGAATCTATCCTTTCAACAGTTGTCATGTCTGACAACAACTCAATCTAATGTACAACATTTAACAACTCAGTTCTTACCTTTTATAAACATCAAAACTGAAGTCCATGAGGTATGGCTCATGACTCTCCAGAACTGATCCATCTGTTGTTGAGGACTGCTTATGGAGCACCAGACTACACAGTGTGTGTAGGATGTCATGGTTTGATGAGGTAGACTTGCCGCCAATCCCAGTATGGCAAAAATGCAGCAAAGGGTGCAATGTGTCCCAAGTAATATGGTAAGAAACAGTAAGCATGCATTATCATCAGTTGAAATCGTCAAGTTGATGTGGAAAAGCTTAAATGAAACTGGATGAAACTAAGGTCATTTGGAGAAAAACCTACTGATTTCCGACACAAAATGGCGACAAATCTATGATGCAGGCAAACTGAACAAACAAAAAGAAACTGATGGGACAAACCTTTTCAAATGAGCGCATGGAGAAAAGTTGCTGGCTGAATCCCAAACCCTGTAGCTGTGAGTAGTGGCTGCTGAACACCTACAAAGACAAAAATTGAAAGGAGAAATCAAATCTCAAGATAATGTTAGCCCTGATCCATGGACTTACTGCCTTTTTCTGATTCCTTGCCATTAAATTTGTGGCTACAGGTGAGTGCAGTATTGGAGCAATTTAATACTCACTGATCTGACAAGATGGGTAATGACATCATTGCGTATGTCACACTGGCTTGCATTGAGTAGAGCTGCTGTTAGATCTAACAAAGTGTCACCACACTGGCCGGGTAGTATGCTGCCCTCTAGCAACGTCAAAAGGACCTGAAATTGGGCGGCGAGGAAATAAGAAATAAATCTAAAAGTTTAGAAGATGTCCTATGATGTCCTATCCACTGAGTGGTTAGTGCTAGTAATCTGTCGAGTTGATCAGCGATTTGTACTTTCCGGTCAGTGTCTGCCTCAGCAGTGAAGAGTTTGTGCATTGCACTCACACAACTCTGTGGAAAAAAAAGAAAGCATACTTAATTTATAATGCGACACTGGTGTCTTTTAAAATGACATTATTTCTTATGTACCAGAATCTTGACTTTACTTGTGATGTACTTGTGACTGGACTTGTGATGTACTTGTGACTGGACATGTGATGTATTTGTGTGACTGGACTTGTGATGTACTTGTGACTGGACATGTGATGTATTTGTGTGACTGGACTTGTGATGTACTTGTGACTGGACTTGTGATTTACTTGTGACTGGACTTGTGATGTACTTGTGACTGGACTTGTGATGTACTTGTGACTGGACATGTGATGTACTTGTGACTGGACTTGTGATGTACTTGTGTGACTGGACTTGTGATGTACTTGTGACTAGACTTGTGATTTACTTGTGACTGGACTTAATGTGATTTACTTGTGACTGGACATGTGATGGACTTGTGACTGGACTTGTGATGTACTTGTGACTGGACTTGTGATTTACTTGTGACTAGACTTGTGAGGTACTTGTGACTGGACTTCTGATGTATTTGTGATCTATCTATCTTAAGTATCTCGACCACAAGCAAAGACAATGATCTAACCTGAGTGAATAGCGATTCGGAGTTTGAGTTTCTCATCTTGTTTGTGTGGCATGATGAAACTCCAACGCCCTCCAGGAGATGCCATGCAGCAGAGGTGACCATACCAGCATGACGGCTGCCAATACGGATCGGTAGGCCAGAGACCAACATGTAGACTTCGCTGATGGTTTCAACCTTGGCAAGATATTATTATTCAACACTGGTTAATTTTGCTTTCAGATATTATAATAGAACGTACATATTTGCATGCTTTTTCACTGAACTAGTAACCATGCATGGTAGCATCGACTTAACCTCTGAGTGATTGTCATGACTACGCCTGCGAACAGCCGAGTAATGTTGACAATGATAATGCAAGTGACTTTTTGTAATTATATCACCACACCAACAGATTCTGTGTTTTTCAGTGTCCGAGAGTGTGCATCACATAGTATTTGCTATTTTCCGTCTACATGTACATGGCTAAAAGGACTATGGCACCTTCCATTTTAATACTGACTACTTTGAGTGGCATAATCAAACTAGCGTCCTAGACCTGTTTTATAATGCCACTTGAAGCAGTCAATATGCAAGACTACAAATTATAAGCATAGCTTGCAAAGTACTCTGATAGTAAAACAGATCTAAGATGGTAGAATCAAGTTAAGGGGTAACGGGTAAAGTGCTTTCTGTCAATGTATTGTTGATCATTTCATTTTTGCATATTTACCTTAATAAATGAACTTGGATAAGTGTATTAAGTATTATACAAATATTGAATGCTTCGAGTGGTGTAGTAAAACTAGCCTCTCGAGGTGATCCATGGACCATTCTATTTTCCCGAGGCGAAGCCGAGGGAAAATAGAATGGTCCATGGATCACCGAGGGAGGCTAATTTTACTTCACCACGAGATAAAGCATTCAATATTTGTTTTATAACACTTCACCCACAGATTCTGCTTGATTTTAATATTTTACATTATTTTAATCTGAACACAGTTGAAATAAACTTCAATTTCAATACAAAATTGGTGGAAAATGTATTTCTCTCTTAAAAACTAACCCTTCACGAAATGTTTGAACCCAAGTCTGCGGCGCGCTCTCTTTGGAATAATACGCGCTACGCACAACGCACAACGCGCACACCAGCATGCATTTGCACACAAATACCGCGCCGTGGAAATAGTACTTTGGTTGCTAATGGTATAGTACTTTGGTTGCTATGCGCATAGTACTTTTGGCCGTGCACAGAAAGATAGCAAAATTAGAAAGTAACATGTGACTCGCTCTCGGCCAATCAAGACACAGAATGTGTGGGTGAGGTGTTATAAAATCTATTGCAAGTACCCTTTCAAATAACTTCCTGTGATATGGCACGTTTGGCTTAACCAGTTCACATCAGACAACGTGTATACACGCAAGGTTTTGCGGTAATCAGAATGGATGATGGATAAACACGCAACAAGCGAGGCCCGAAATGTCTGTCAGTGGCCTACTTGCAGCAAGCTACCCGTAGATGACAGCCTGAAGCCAGTCTTGGTCTGGTCAATGTCAAAATAGTCCAGCGCGAACTGGTTACAACAATCTGCTGGGTCATATGAAATATTTACCTTTTAGACATCATAGTTGGAAATGATGGCGTTGAACAGCGTGTACAAGGCATTCAACAAGTTAACAACCTGGAAAGTTAAGCGCAAGATGTAAAGGGTAACTCTGGTGACACTATTGGTTTGCAATTTTTTTTGGTGCTACTGTAATTGGCGTTTTGGCTGCTGTTGGATCCGGTTGAAATAAATAAATAAATAAATATTCTGAGTAGACAATTTGATCAAATTTGAGTGCATTTTACGTTCTGAACTTAAGCCACTTTTGAGAATATGATTGAAAAGTACTAGGCCCTACATGCCCTAGGTGCATGTTTATCTAGGCTGATTATAAAGATTACGTGCACAAAACAGTAGATTGTCCCTTTTTGACAATTTTTGAGAGCCCTAGTTGGAGAGACGCATTGCGTGAAGCAATGTCTGAAACAACCTAAAATGAGAATACTACTCTGTTCCGTTATAAAGTTATAGCCTAATTAAAAGTAAGCTCTCAAATTTTCATGTTAACCCGCTAGTAATTTGATACCAGGTGATGTCATGATGACATCACAATTTCTTTTACCGGACCAGGGTTCAAATTCCATCTAGGTTTTATCGTCATCACGTGAACTGTTTGGAAAAGATGTGGTTCGTTTTGATTTTGAGGCCTTTGTCTGTAATTTAAATTCACCCAATTTTGACCTTCCAGTAGACCCGGAAGTAAAGGTCGAGCGAGGTCACGTAGGTTAAGGAGAAAACCCGTAAAGAATTATTGTCCAGAAAAAAAACCAAAGAATAATTATTACCATTTTAAAAAGGTGATTGGGTCGTAACCGATCAAAAAGTCCCCAAAAACATTCAGTGTGATGAATCCTGCTTTTGACAGATTTTCAACTTTTTTCTGTCTTAGTTTTATTGTGCTGAGCATAAAAATCGGGCAAGAAAGATCTTTTGCTGTTACTCCCTCAACCGTTTTAAAGTACAGTTAGAGCATTTTCTCTTCAAATATGAAAAAGTCTTACTTTGCAGTACTTCGAGTCTGTTCCATCCCTGTGAAGCACCAGCAAGGTAGTGATCGATGTACTTGGTGCGGTCCTTCTCCTGGGCTGTATAGTGCTTCTCAAGGGAGCTCTGGTCTGAGTCTGTACCATCCCTGTGAAGTATCAGCAAGGTATACATGTAGTGATGTACTTGGTGTGGTCCTTCTCCTGGGCCGTATAGTGCTTCTCAAGAGAGCTCTGGTCCGAGTCTGTTCTAGCCGTGAGAAGCAGTCCTTCTCCTGGGCCTTATAGTGCTTCTATAGTGCTTCTCGAGAGAGCTCTCTGATGTGAAGTGAGCTGGTAGATCTGCCATCACCTGGTCAAGAAATTTGAATATTGTCAATTTGAGAAAAAATGTTTGATACTGATTGAGACATTTACTTGTATTCATTATTAGCTATCCTGCAAACTCGAGTGGAACAAGGTTAAAAAAAAAAAATAGGTTAACCAGTTTGCGTCGGATAACGTGTATACAAACAAAGATTTTGCGGTATTCGTAGCGGATGACAGATGAACAAGCAAGGATAGCTGAGTCCTATAAATACAGATGTCAAATTGGTTCAGAGAACTCTTGGAGTTTTTAAGAATAAATTATTGTTTCACTGAAGAAGAAGTGTCTTTGCTCCCTTATTAGTCCCATCCTTGTAGATAGGATAGGATGCCTGGTTATATATCTTTGATACAAACGAATCCGGGAAATATAAATTTATAGTGACTTGGCATCATTATATCTTGCAAGGTGACAGAAGAAAGTCCTGAATAGCGCCCTCTACCCCACCTCACCCGGCCGCAGCATTACCGGTACATGGCAAAAACAATGAAATAAGCCCATTGGTTTTACTTTAAACATGCCAGACCTTACTCCATATTTTTTATACAATTTCCTTAAAACATAAGTAGTGACTACATGTATCAAAGGTTATTAATATCACTAAATCTGAAAATAAAAAGAAAACAAAAATCCCCCACTTGCATTATTGTCCATTCAGCCATAAAAAAATCGTTGTGCGTCAATTTTGATCTGTTGAGTCAATTTCTTTTTTTCTTTAAAATTTTCTGTAGCTACAACAGTGCCCTTTAGTGCTGCACCGCCTCAAATATTTAGCACTAAGGAGCACAAGGGCACCAAGACAAATGATAGGGCACCAAGTCAAATGATGTAACACCATATGAGAACTCAAACAAACAAAGCAGTACCACTTTGCTATTTTTTCCCAAGCTTGGATGGTACAGACAAAGAATATTTTTTTAAATCACTACATCAAGTCCAGAACTTTGGTCTGACCAGAGACCCACTATTTTTTTTGTTTTGGCCTCACGGCCTGTGCGACTCTCATTCGTGTCCATAGACTTTATACACACACACACACATATTGTTGATGTACCCTAACGTGGCGCGGCCCCTAACGTGGCGCACTTTGATTTTTCGCATGTAGCGCCTACCTAGAGCAAAAGTTTTAACTGTTTCTGTGAAATTTCATCAAGTTCTAAACACTCCTGATCATAAATCGCGAGTTTATTTACCCGTAACAAAGTCAGAAGGAAAAATTATTTTGGCGTGATTTTCCGATTTTATTTTCAAGTGCAAAGTGAATCCTTTGAAAATGCCCTGAAAAATGAGAAAATAATTTTCTGACAAACATCTGGCTGGGTATGTACATGTAAACTTGTAGAGATAACAATTATTTATCAGAATTTAGGCCTATCAAGTTTACAGAAATTCTTAAGTGTTAATTTGGAATTTTCCAAGATTTATTCAAGTGCGCCACGTTAGGGAACACTCCACTCCGCCTATTTGTGCCCGATTTCCGGATGCCACTGTTTTTGAATTTCGGATTAAATTTTATGAAACCGAATTTGTTCACAGAGGTTAAATAGCAAGCATTAATAAGGTAAAAGTACTAGTATTTCACTGCATGAATTTGAGGTTTGTCAACAAAGAGGTTTGGCAACAGTACACGAGGAAAGTCGGGTAAGCTTCGAAGTGCGCCATGTTAGGGAACACGACTATACCCATGTTAGTTTTACATATGCTATGTGGACATTCCTTTGTTTTCGTGTAGTTAAAAAAACTCGGTATAAAAAATAACTTTTATACTTATAACTGTGAAAACTCTCTCAACCCAATTTTTGTTCTATGATTCCCTATAGGCCATAGTGTTTCTCTTCATTCTGCTAAGGATAAACCTAACCCAAAAATGCCTCTAGGCTCTAAACCTGTTTTCCAGAATGGGCAAAACGTTATGTGGACACGGCTTAGTCCACATAACGTCAACACAACCTGCATTATGTATGTGGACATCTTTTGTTCACAAGTGAATGTAAAGACAAACTCAGACACACACACACACACACATAGTCCGAAAATTTGGGACTCTAAATACTGTGTATGAGAGTCCCAAAACTTAAGGCATCCATATTGTGCAAAAGTTTGTGCTGCATAATAAAACCAGTGTGAATCAAATGTGCAAGCTTCTTACTCACTACAGTTTCTTCAATAATCCCCGAAACTTCTGCCCTGCAAAGTTGCTGTTGTGAGCATTGCATCACCAAAAATTCAGCGTTTAATTCTAATTTTGCAGGGAGTTATCGAAATCCAAATGCGAAACATCACGTTGATGTGTACTGCAATGCATTGTGCAAAAAGACTCCTCAGCTAAAACAATTTCATCGTGTAGATAAAACAGCGCCCTCTTGTTGATCTGAGTGAATGCAGAATGTTTCATTTTTTAACAGAGGGCGCTATGTTCATTTGGCCATCGATTAAAAAACAAGTAAGCTGCAAGGCTCTTCCTACACCTACCCAGAATACCTTGGGAAACACACCACCATTTCTAAAGCATGGAGAATAACGTGGATGGTTTTTGAACTGTCAAAAACTTGCCTTAAAATTGGAGTTAAGGTCTCAAATTTTGCAGGTGACATGCTTGCAACTTAAGCATTTTGATGTATGTGTTGTGTGGGCATTAATTAGCCTAATGGTGAGTAAAAAAACGTCAGTAGTAATTTTGCACGTTTTTATGCACTCACGGTCCCAGTCTGACACACACACAGACTTGTTTCACATACGTAGTGTGGACTTTCCTTTCTTTTCGTGTAGTTAAGGAACACCAGTGGAAAAACTCATTTTTCTCAAACTGTGAAAACTCTTACAACCCAATTTTTTTTCTATGATTCCCTATAGTGTTTCTCTTCATTCTGCTACAGATAAACCTAACCCAAAAATGCCTCTAAACCTGTTTTCCAGAAATGGGGAAACACTGTGTGGACGTGGGCAAGTCCACACTTCGTCGGTGCTACCTACATTATGTGGACGTGTTTTGTTCGGAAGTCCACACTGCGTATGTAAGACAAGCTCACACCTACACACACAGACACACCACACCCACAATCGCAGAAGTGTCGTCAGGATGCAACATTTTTCCAGTAAGGCAAACACTGACATCAAGGGAATTTTTCTACCTTGGGATTATCTGCACCGCCGTCATGACATGCGAAATGATGCGATCGGCGATGACATTGGCTCATCCAACAACAGAAGATGATCAAGCCCACGTGAAGGTTTGCTAGCTACACATGCCAGAAGTAAACGCGAGTTCCAAAGACTCCTCAATATTCCAAAGGAACGGAGAGACAGAGGTTGTACACCATGTCTGCAGTCCTATGAATATTAGAAATATGATAATGAAATAAGAGCATGAAACTGGAGTGGGAGGGTCTCAACCAAAGACCACAAACGCAGAAAGGTAAACAAACTACACACCAAGCAAGACAGCTGCGTGTTTGGCAATTAAACTGTGTTTGGCGCCCTCAATATTGAGGGCGCCAAACACGTTTCATTGACTGCGCCAAAAATTGTACACAGTCTGAGATCAATGGCACAAACCACCAAAGACATAAACGCACAAAAAAGCAAGCTGTGTAGAAAACATGTACCTGCGTTTCCCCAAGAGCGGATCCAGAACACAAGGTTTTTGGGCAGGGCGAAAAAAAAATTTGGTCCCCCAAAAAGTGATTCCAAAAATTACGGCGTGGGGTTCGGGGCCCTTAAGGGCCCCGATAAACTTTTTGATTCTAGATGCTCTTTGGTGCGATCTGAGGGAATTTCTGACCACTTTAACCAACGTTCTAGGAGGAAAAGATGGTGGTGTACTCAGTGCCTGCCTTGATTGCGACGTCACATAAAAACAAAAACAAAAATGGTTTCATTTTGAGGAAAAAAACACTGTCGCGACATAAAAAAACCGCATGCACAGGGCGCGCCGCCATTTTGAATTTCGATGGCTTCAGACCTTTCAATCGGCTCCCATAGAGTGATATTTACACGTGATAATTGTGTCACATATCGTGTTAAATAATGTATTTCTAAGAGTTAGTGTCTGGAAACCGTGTGTGTTGTCCACTTAAAATCGCCTGATGTTTTTACGCCATTTGAACACACTACGTTCCTTTGTTTATATTAATGTTATTGTTTGACGATTTTTTTTTCAAATTAAAGAGAGTTATGTCATATTATCATATTGAACAAACACACTGAATGTCAACTTAATACAGCAAGTATTTCTTGAGTAATTGTTCGGAAAGTGTGTTGTTTATGTTCTGGAAAAGTTGACTTCAATTCACCTGGTATTTTAAGCGCTTACAATCTACATTGCTTTGTCTACATTATTTTTTATTGTTTGACGATTCTTCTTTAAATTCAACAGAAATCGGTCACATACCATAAGGCCATGTTTAGAAAGCGTATGAAATGTCAATTTAATGCAACAAATATTTTTTGAATTATTGTCTGGAAACCGAGTGTGTGGTTTTATTCTGGGAAAGTTGACTTAAAATTTAAGTGCCTGGTATTTTACGCGCTTACTACACTACATTGCTTTGTTTACATCATTTTTGTTTGTTTGACGATTCTTGTTTAAATTAGACAGAAAGGGGTCACTTATCATCTTTAATGAGCATATGGAATTTCACTTTCATTCAACGAATATTTCTTGAGTCATTGTTTGGAAACCAATTGTGTTGTTTTTGTTACAGTAAAGTTGACTTAAAATCGCCTAGTATTCTACGCTCTTAATACACAACATTACTTTGTTTATTATTTTTTATTGTTTGAGGATTCATCTACAAATTAACAGACTTGTTTTATATATCACGTTTTATCAACATAAAAAACTGCAATTCAATGCAAAAAGTATTTGTTTGAGTTATTGCCTGGAAACCAAGTGTGTTGTTTTTGTTACAGTAAATTTGACTTCAAATCGGCTGGTATTTTACACGTTTTACAATCCTACATTTCTTTGTTTATATTATTTAAACTGTTAGACGATATTTCTTCAAATTCAACAAAATGAGGTCAAATATCATGTTTAACAAGCGAATGATATGTCAATTTGATGTGACGAATGTTTCTTGATTTATTGTCTGGAAACTAAGTGTGTTGTTTTTGTTATAGTAAAGTTTACCAACAATCGCCTGTTATTTTGCGCGCTCACTACACTACATTGTGTTTATTATTATTTTTTTTATTTATAAAGATTCGTCTACAAATTCAACAAACTTGTATCAAATATCACATTTAATTGTAATTAACGAAATTGTAATTAAGTGCAAAAGGTATTTCTTGAGGTTTTGTCTGGAAATCAAGTATGTTGTTTTGCAATAGTAAAGTTGACTTAATTTCGCCTAGTATTTTACGCGCTTTACAATCTACATTGCTTTGTTCATAACTGTTTGACTATTCTTCTTCATGTCCGTAAATTTCGCCGTAATTTTACGGACTTTGCATAATTGCAAATATTAATTATGCTAATTAGCATTTACAATCAACCACATCGGCCCAAACACCTACACATTATAGTAATCCAAGTGTACCGTGAACACATGTCCAAACTCAGAAAAGGGGTCCGCATATCATGTTTAATAAGCGCATGAAATGCCATCTTAATGCAACGGATATTTCTTGAGATAATAATTGTCTGTATATCAAGTGTGTTGTTTTTGTTATGTAAAGTTGAATTAAATTCGCATAGTATTGTACGCGCTTTAGAATATACATTGCTTTGTTTACATTTTTTTTTTTATTGTTTGACGGTGTAGCGTGAATATCCGACTCCATGAAATGTGGACTCATTGGTAGTATTGCGCACGCGTGAGCACGATACTATGCTATTTTTAGGATCGTTTCGGGAGAGTGACCTGTCACGTGCGAGGGATTAACCAATTATAGGGGAAAAGGGGTCTGATTTTCATAGGAGTCGGATTTTCATGTGACAACGGTTATTCCTCAAGTTCAACAGAGAGCGGTCCTAAGTGTAATTAACGTATGAACTGTCAAATTAGTGCAACAAATTTGTCTTGAAACCGAGTGTGTTGTTTTTGTTCTGGGAAAGTTTACTTAAAATCGCCTGGTATTTTACGCGCTTAATTCACCACATTGCTTTTTAAAATATTTTTTATTGTTTGACGATCCGTCTACAAATTCAACTTACTAGTACTAAATATAACGTTTGATCTATAAACGATATTGCAATTGAATGTCTGGAAACCAAGTGTGTTCTTTTGTTTTAGGAAAGTTGACTTACTCGCCTGGTATTTTACGCGCTTAATACAGTACATTGCAATGTTTTATTATTAAACTATTCGACGATTCTTCTTCAAAATGTTCAAATTCAACAGAAAGGGGTCACAAATCATGTTTAATAAGCGTATGAAATATCAAATTTAATGTAACGGATATATCTTGAGTTATTGTCTGTAAATCAAGGTTTTTGTTTATGTTACAGTAAAGTTGACTTAACTACTGGGAATGGGATCAGCCGTCAATTTCTTTTGTAATAAGCCACAATGAATCCTCAAACCCACTAAGCAACTTAAATTGGCAAGAACCGTGGAAAAATCCCAACCCCCCAAAAATTGATTGCAAATTGAAGTCACATTGAATTGAAAAACGTAAAACACTATTTATAGAGACAATCCCCCCCCCCCCCAAATAAATTGTATTGATATGAAAACTTGACAATAATTAGTCATGATGTACTGACACACACAAAAACCCCGACGGAAACCTGGGAAGAAAGACAATAAAACAAGTGTTTGAACGCTCCGTACGTAGCTTTTGCCACCGTTGATATCTTCCAAAAGAGGGCGTCCTACACAAACACTGGTCAGCACCTTTAAGATTTTTGTATAATGCAGATGACAATCTGCGAACAATAAAACATGTTTTTTTTTTAAAGACATAATGACTGCAGAACACATTGCATTTAATGAAAATTGCGTGCTATTATTGCCCATTATATTTTACACAAGTTTGAAAATTGATGAAAGCCATTCCGGAATAAATTTAATATGATTTATGAAAATCATGACAAATTCATAACGAAAGTCACTTTTTATTGAACCAAAATAAATCACTCTTTTTAGAGACAATTACTGCAGAATAGCTCATTGTTTTTTTGACACAGAAAGTAAGAAACTTGACAGGAACAGAAAAAGAATAAAATAATGAAATGTCATTTAAAGACAATTTAGTGTTTTAATCGCAAAAACAATTAATTGGGAATTCAGTAACTTTATAATAATTGAATGAAAGTAAAATGCTATCTATGGATACAATTATTCCAGAATAATATATATTTGAACATATCGGTCGATAATTAGTCGTCACGTAATGACATAAAAAAACACCTGGACGGAAACCTCGGAGGTAAAAAATCCACGACAATAAAGCAAAAAGTGTCGACGCTATACAGGGTGTTTCAATAAAAAGGAAACCCAACTTTGAAGAACAAGTATGGACAGACTAAATGTTTACTGGCTGTGAAACCGCTTTCATATAAAAGCGTAATCTCTATGCTTTTCAATGATACCTTGTTTACATTTCCAGGGCCTTGCATCACTGAGCATCAAGTTGTCTTGAAAACTGGATGCAAAATTGCAGTTGGTTCACTTTCATGTCAAACACAATAGGCATGGTGTGCATGGGAGTAAGTATTCAAGAAGATAACACGGGTGCATCAGAAGAAATAAAAAAAAACAAGTCGGGTTTGTTTCAAAACTGGATTTTGTTTGTCATCAATTCTCGTTTTGACCAAGCCACGTTCAAAACAATCTGCCATTTTCCCGAGAATTGACATTCGAGCCATTTCCGTAACAATAGGCACACCGTGCCCAGTGGTTTTTTATGAAAGTGAACCAAGTGCATTTTTGCATTCAGTTTTCAAGACAATGATGCTCAGTGATGCATGACTCAGAAAACCTAGCCACGGTATCATTGAAAAGCATAGAGATTACGCTTTCAGATGATACCAGTTTTATAGCTAGTAAACATATCGTAAGTCCATACTCATTCTTTGAAATTGGGTTTCCTTTTTTTTAAACACCATACGTACACCATGATTGCTTCCTTCAATTTCTTGCAAAAAAGGAAGACGTCTGCTAATGTGTGTCACGATGTACCCATTTGACAAAACTACCACACTCTTTGTGGAGATAATACTGCAGAATAACGCATCCCGTATGATTAAAATTGCGTCGCATTACTGGCCGTTATATTTGACGCAACATGATTGAAAATTGAAGGGAATCTTGGGCAAATTTTATTCTTATATGATTGGAAAAAAAGGAGAATTTTTATCGTGAAAAAAACTGTGTTAATTGGAATCACTTTTGAAGGAAATTTTGTTGAATATTTAGTCGCAATGTAAAGATTTGAAAAAAAATCGACTGAAATCTTGAACAAAAAATATCCACTCTTTGTTAATGGTGCCGATACCTTAAGGAAAACGCGTTGAATTGAATTGAAATTTCGTCCAATAATTATTCATGATGTATAACAAAACAGTTTTGAAGGAAAAAAAATGACAGGAACCTTAAGACAAAATAAATGCCACAATAAAAACTACACCGTGTAAGCAAACTCCGTTTTTTGCTGTCATCTATTTCTTCCAACAGAGGGTGCACTACATAGCGTGTGTCATTAAAAACGCAGGATTAGAAACAAACATATTAAGAATATAAACCACCCTTATTCATCATAATGTTAACCCTCTTTTCAAAGTACCTTTCCTTCTCTTCACTTTGCTTTTTATCCCATCTCATTTGGACAATCCTGTCCAGAGATAGAGTACATTGAAGAAGGGTTATGAATTCCAAGCTGGTCTGATTTGTGAAATCACACATACCTAATGAAAGGTTTGAATTCAGTAGAAAGTATTTGTGGATCACAAAGAAGGACATGTGTGGCAGGATTAGGCTTACATAATCCTTTAGTCCACAATCAATGTTATTAGTCAATAATTCATGATGCTTTGAAACAATGATAGTCCAGTTATTAAATTTAAGTGATACTTATCATCAGTTGTTTCAAAGAAAGTTTTGTTCTGGTTTAATTGTCTTCAATGCATACCTGCATTGTACATAACTGGTCGTTGTGCTAAGGTCATTGAATCAGACCAACCCGCTTCAGAAGGGCTTCACAAAACTTGTCATAACTTTTGAACCAAGAGTCAAAATTCCACCAAACAAAAATCTTGTCAAAGATGAAATTATGGACAATAAAATCCTTATCAAATTAGGCACACCAGTAGCATAATTTTCTCAGAAAAAAAAATCGCTTTGAATCCTGCGTTTTTATTGACACACGCGTAGAGGGCGCGCCACATAAATAGTGGTCTCAACAACGCATCAACGCGGATGCTGCAAAATTGAACAAAAAGAACATACTCGTTTCCGATGAACTACTCAAGAAATACGATATGGATTCAATTGAAATTTGGTGCAATTGGTCTTCACGATGTGTAGCAGAAGTAGTTTGAATGGTGTGAGAAACAGTGTAGCTATAAATATAATATGATCGTAACAATCTAGTGTTTGAAACGCTAGACAACCACGTTGACTTCCATTAGGATTGTATTTGTCGCAATTAAAACCCTGTATTGTTACGGTCATAATAGCTTGATTGTTTGACCTTTTCTTATGAAATCAAATCAGTTCATGTCAAACATCATGACAAATGAGTGTACGAAAATTCATTTTAATGTAACGTGTATTTCTTGAGTTGTTGCCCCCAAAACGAGTTTGTTCTGTATTTCAAAATTGAATATTCAGTGATTTGTCATGATGACTGTGTTACATTATGAGATTTAATTCCATGAGAAACCATCAATCAATGAAAAAGAGTTTACCCGAAACAAATACAGTATTTTAAACGTGAAAAATACAAACCGAATGAAAAATGAAAAGTCAACGTCTATGGAAAAATAATACTAATACACTCGTTGTTTGAGCAATAACCCGAGCTCACCAGGTCAAGCTATATTAAGTTGTAAGTTCAGCAAGTGATCGGTCTTGATGTCTTACAGGAGGAGATTGAATTTCGTGAGAAACCGTCAAACAACTAAAAAAATTAATTCGAGAAAGGGCGCGCTGAATAAAACTAGTGGTCTCGCACCGCCAAGACATTCATCCGCACGCCGTAGAATATTTTAATTTTTGTTCAATAGAGGGGTGCGCCACATGAATAGTGGTCTCAACAACGCATCGACACGGATGCTGCAAAATTGAACAAAAAGAAGAAACTCGTTTCCGATGAACTACTTAAGAAATACGAAATGGATTCAATTGAAATTTCGTGCAATTACTTTTCAGGATGTGTAGCAGAAGTAGTTTGAATGGCGTGAGAAACCGTGGAGCTATAAATATAATATGATCGTAACAATCTAGTGTTTGAAAAGCTAAAAATCCACGTTGACTTCCATTAGGAGTGTATTTGTCGAGAATGAAACCCTGTATTGTTACGGTCATAATAGCTTGATTGTTCGACCTTTTCTTCTGAAATTAAATCTGTTCATGTCAAACATCATGAAAAATGAGTGTACGAAAATTCATTTTAATGTAACGTGTATTTCTTGAGTTGTTGCCCCCAAAACGAGTTTGTTCTGTATTTCAAAATTGAATATTCAGTGATTTGTCATGATGACTGTGTTACATTATGAGATTTAATTCCATGAGAAACCATCAAACAATGTAAAAGAGCATACCCGAAACAAATACAGTATTTTATACGTGAGAAATTCAAACCAAATGAAAAAGGAAAAGTCAACGTATAATTATGGAAAAATAACAATACACTCGTTGTTTGAGCAATAACCCGAGCTCACCAGGTCAAGCTATATTAAGTTGTAAGTTAAGCAAGTGATCGGTCTTGATGTCTTACAGGAGGAGATTAAATTTGGTGAGAAACAGTAAAAAACAAAACAAAACAATTCTGTCGAGAAAAAGCGCGCTGAATAAAACTACTGGTCTCGCACCGCCAAGACATACCTCCGCACGCCGTAGAATATGTTCAGTTTCGTTCAATAGAGGGCGCGCCACATAAATAGTGGTCTAGTCTCAACAACGCGTAAACACGGATGCTGCAAAATTGAACAAACCAAGCTGAAGCCCGCGCTGATTTGAAGCTTCTGGAGAAATGCAGAATCACTTCTGGTGTCGTTGCAAATGATATAGGACAATCCAGGAGGTGTGCAAAAAAGTGTATTAATTAAAATTCCGATTCGAATGAAAGCCACTTTTAATTGGAGACAATGAATGGAAAAAACACCACATTCCAATATTTGATCATAATATCATAACATAAAAAGATTGAACAAATTTACGGAAACCGTGGCAATTAAAAAAACATTGCGACAATAAAAACTAGACTATGTTACCACCATAAAATCTAATCGTCAATGCCGACTCTGACATGCCCAATTTAGGTCATAACCATTGAGCTCGAAATAGAAGAAAAATAATTCCCAGTCATAATCACAAAATGTTAACTTTTTATGTCACCGAGTTAATGACAAATGAAAGAGTCCCAAAGTGCAAGAAGGAACTTACGGTCTGTACAACACGTTCGCCCTTTAGCAAAGGAAGTCTTAGTCAACACGACGAAGGTGACACTGCAATAGCTGTGAACTGAAGGCATCCGCCGCTGCTGTTGTCAAGCGGATGACTGGTTCGAAAAATGGAGCGTATTTATATGGATCCTAGCACAAAGCACCCACTAGAGCATCACAATACAAATTCCTACCATTCACTGATCATGGCTATAACTGACCTTAGACGTTTTGAAGTCTGGAAATGATTATTTTCTGGACTGTGACTTCCCTAAAGCTTTGAGAAATTTGGTTTGTTTGGGTTGAGTGCCAACAATGATATATAGCGTAATTAATTATGTGTTGTTCCATCATTTTTTTTGGCGGGAGGGGATGGAACTGCTTCAGCTTCTTAAAAACTTCCCAACGGGTAACCTTTTGGTTGAAATACAGTACTTTGTTAAGATTTCGTTGCGAGGACACTCACTCTTCCAAGCCCAATCTTCCCTGATAATTTGCTTCGTCTCCCCGTCAGAACTGTAAATGTAACTACACTCAACCAAAAAAGAAAGTCACCTTCCAATACTTTTTTAACTCAACAACTACTGAGCACCTTTCGCTCAACTAACGACTAATCAGTACAGAAATTCCTTAGCATTCCAGCCGTACTCTTTCTTATGCGCAAAACAGTGATAATGTGTACGAATTTATACACTTTAGGACCAATGATACCGAACACAGTTGCACTTTTGTATACGTGCAAGTTGTGGCTCACACTAACCTCGCACGTATACAAAAGTGCAAGTTTTTTCTCGGTACCATGTTTGTCATCAATTGCATAATTTGGTACACGTTAACACTTTTTGGGCCAAAGAGAATGGATGGATGATACTCTGTTTATGTAATGTTTACGCAAATGCTCATTATTGTGCTTGGAAATGGAAAGTACATGTTTGTTGATTTTGTTAAAGAGTTATGAGGAAAATGTTTGTCAGTTGATGAAGAATAGAACGCAACAATTGATGTTATTGTGATGAAAGATGACAAGCATTTCAAAATGTTGTTCAATAAATTGTGCAATATAGCGCAGTATTAAGAAGACGGATGTTGTCGAATGTTTTTTTTTTATGAGCCTTAAAAGAATAACACTTGTTAGGGACTTGTTGATGGAAATGGGAGTTGAAATTGAAATAGGTAATAAATATTCACAATGTCATCAAGCATGCGCAGTTGTAGAATCAAAGCTAGTGTTAGTTTTAAAAAAAATGGCAAATAGTGATTTGGGAACATGAAAAAAAGGGGCATATATATTTGAACTTGACGAAGGGTGGGTGGGTGGGGCGAACGAGGAGGGGGCATTACGCAAAAAATTTAGGTAACACGACCTAGGGCTTCTTGTAGGGCTTCTTGTAGGGCTTCTTGTAGGGCTTCTTGTAGGGCTTCTTGTAGGGCTTCTTGTAGGGCTTCTTGTAGGGCTTCTTGTAGGGCTTCTTGTAGGGCTTCTTGTAGGGCTTCTTGTAGGGCTTCTTGTAGGGCTTCTTGTAGGGCTTCTTGTAGGGCTTCTTGTAGGGCTTCTTGTAGGGCTTCTTGTAGGGCTTCTTGTAGGGCTTCTTGTAGGGCTTCTTGTAGGGCTTCTTGTAGGGCTTCTTGTAGGGCTTCTTGTAGGGCTTCTTGTAGGGCTTCTTGTAGGGCTTCTTGTAGGGCTTCTTGTAGGGCTTCTTGTAGGGCTTCTTGTAGGGCTTCTTGTAGGGCTTCTTGTAGGGCTTCTTGTAGGGCTTCTTGTAGGGCTTCTTGTAGGGCTTCTTGTAGGGCTTCTTGTAGGGCTTCTTGTAGGGCTTCTTGTAGGGCTTCTTGTAGGGCTTCTTGTAGGGCTTCTTGTAGGGCTTCTTGTAGGGCTTCTTGTAGGGCTTCTTGTAGGGCTTCTTGTAGGGCTTCTTGTAGGGCTTCTTGTAGGGCTTCTTGTAGGGCTTCTTGTAGGGCTTCTTGTAGGGCTTCTTGTAGGGCTTCTTGTAGGGCTTCTTGTAGGGCTTCTTGTAGGGCTTCTTGTAGGGCTTCTTGTAGGGCTTCTTGTAGGGCTTCTTGTAGGGCTTCTTGTAGGGCTTCTTGTAGGGCTTCTTGTAGGGCTTCTTGTAGGGCTTCTTGTAGGGCTTCTTGTAGGGCTTCTTGTAGGGCTTCTTGTAGGGCTTCTTGTAGGGCTTCTTGTAGGGCTTCTTGTAGGGCTTCTTGTAGGGCTTCTTGTAGGGCTTCTTGTAGGGCTTCTTGTAGGGCTTCTTGTAGGGCTTCTTGTAGGGCTTCTTGTAGGGCTTCTTGTAGGGCTTCTTGTAGGGCTTCTTGTAGGGCTTCTTGTAGGGCTTCTTGTAGGGCTTCTTGTAGGGCTTCTTGTAGGGCTTCTTGTAGGGCTTCTTGTAGGGCTTCTTGTAGGGCTTCTTGTAGGGCTTCTTGTAGGGCTTCTTGTAGGGCTTCTTGTAGGGCTTCTTGTAGGGCTTCTTGTAGGGCTTCTTGTAGGGCTTCTTGTAGGGCTTCTTGTAGGGCTTCTTGTAGGGCTTCTTGTAGGGCTTCTTGTAGGGCTTCTTGTAGGGCTTCTTGTAGGGTTAGGGTTAGGGTTAGGGTTAGGGTTAGGGTTAGGGTTAGGGTTAGGGTTAGAGTTAAGGGATCTTCTGTAGGCCGACCTCGGAGTATAAGGTCGGTGACCCCTGAGGTCAAAGGTCATGACCCCCCGCAACTGTTGGTTGTGTCACAAGGTTATGCTCCCTAGGGGTCAAAGGTCACGGGGTCTAAGGTTACTGCACAAAGTATAGGAAAAAAACTTTGAGAGGTCATAACCTTTGACCCCTGGAGAGCATAACATTGTGACTAGGTCAAAAACTTTCGGGGGAGGTCATGAACTCTGATCCCAAAGGTCAAGGTCATAGGTCATTGGGGTCAGGAGTTATGGTCAAAAGTTGTCTATTTCCGACACCCCAAAAAAAGAAAAACACATAAGAAATTCTAAAATGGTCTGAAACGTGTGAAAAACACATAAATCAATATGGGTCAAATGTAAGGGAATGGGTTAGTACTTCGTCGTTTTTTCAAGTGTGTATATGCGTTAACGCATAGGGCAAGGGCTTGTGCACAAACCCTAAGGTAATTCGGCTTTGTAAACAAATCAATGGAAGTACTGGATGCACGCGAGTATGTGGAATGTATTAGAGCATTAGGAACGAGTTGGCACCCCGGTCCCGAGTTATGCGTTTTGGGAAGTCTGCAGGACCGTACCTAGGCACGGATACCCAGATTTTAACCCTATTTGACACTATGATAGTGTTATTGGACCGTAAAAAGACTACCCTAACCCCTTTTACCTTGATTCGACCGTATTTACCCTATTGGAGACGGTTTAACACTATTTCGGGCGATTTTACCCTACATCACAGCGTATAACCCTACCCCTATAGCTAATTCCTCTATTTCCGACACCCTAGCCCTACCCCTATGTAATATCCGTCTATTTTGGACAGCTAGCCCCATCCCTATGCCAAATCCCTCTATTTCCGACACCCTAGCCCTACCTCTATGTAATATCCGTCTATTTTTGACAGCTAGCCCCATCCCTATGCCAAATCCCTCTATTTCCGACACCCTAGCCCTAACTCTATGGAATATCCGTCTATTTTCGACACCCTATATAAAGAAATACATATAAGGAAAACATAAGATATTCAAAAATATCAGGAAAAACATAAGAAATTCATAAAACAAACAAAAACTAACCCAAACCCTAATGACAAAGAAAAACATAAGATACCCTAAGAACAAAGAAAAACATACGAACCCTAAGAACAAAGGGTTAGGGTTAGGGTTAGGGTTAGGGTTAGGGTTAGGGTTAGGGGTTAGGGTTAGGGTTAGAGTTAAGGGATCTTCTGTAGGCCGACCTCGGAGTATAAGGTCGGTGACCCCTGAGGTCAAAGGTCATGACCCCCCGCAACTGTTGGTTGTGTCACAAGGTTATGCTCCCTAGGGGTCAAAGGTCACGGGGTCTAAGGTTACTGCACAAAGTATAGGAAAACAAATTGAGAGGTCATAACCTTTGACCCCTGGGGAGCATAACATTGTGACTAAGTCAAAAACTTCCGGGGGAGGTCATGACCTCTGACCACAAAGGTCGAGGTCATTGGGGGTCAGGAGTTATGGCTAAAAGTTGTCTATTTCCGACACCCTAAAATAAAGAAAAACATAAGAAATTCTAAAATGGTCTGAAACGTGTAAAAAAACATATATTTAAGTCAATATGGGTCAAATATAGGGGAATGAGTTAGTACGTTTATTAAATTGTGTATATGCGTTAACGCATAGGGCAAGGGCTTGTGCACAAACCCTATGGCAATTCGACTTTGTACACATATCAATGGAAGTACTGGATGCACGCCAGTATTTGGGATGTATTAGAGCATTAGGGACGAATTGGCACCCTGGTCCAGAGTTATCCGTTTTGGGCAGTCTGCAGGACAATACCTAGGCACGGATACCCAGTTTTTGACCCTATTTGACCCTATGATAGAGCTATTGGACCATTAAAAGACTATCCTAACCCCTTTTACCCTGATTCGACCGTATTTACCCTATTCGAGACGGTGTTACACTATTTCGGGCGATTTTACCCTATATCACAGCGTATAACCCTAGCCCTATGGCAAATCCCTCTATTTCCGACAACCTAGGTTAGGGTTAGGGTTAGGGTTAGGGTTAGGGGTTAGGGTTAGGGTTAGGGGTTAGGGTTAGGGTTAGGGTTAGGGTTAGGGTTAGGGGTTAGGGTTAGGGGTTAGGGTTAGGGTTAGGGGTTAGGGTTAGGGGGTTAGGGTTAGGGTTAGGGTTAGGGTTAGGGGTTAGGGTTAGGGTTAGGGTTAGGGGTTAGGGTTAGGGTTAGGGGTTAGGGTTAGGGTTAGGGTTAGGGTTAGGGTTAGGGTTAGGGTTAGGGTTAGGGTTAGGGTTAGGGTTAGGGTTAGGGTTAGGGTTAGGGTTAGGGTTAGGGTTAGGGGTTAGGGTTAGGGGTTAGGGTTAGGGTTAGGGTTAGGGTTAGGGTTAGGGTTAGGGTTAGGGTTAGGGTTAGGGTTAGGGTTAGGGTTAGGGTTAGGGTTAGGGTTAGGGTTAGGGTTAGGGTTAGGGGTTAGGGTTAGGGTTAGGGTTAGGGTTAGGGTTAGGGTTAGGGTTAGGGTTAGGGTTAGGGTTAGGGTTAGGGTTAGGGTTAGGGGTTAGGGTTAGGGTTAGGGTTAGGGTTAGGGTTAGGGTTAGGGTTAGGGTTAGGGTTAGGGTTAGGGTTAGGGTTAGGGTTAGAGTTAAGGGATCTTCTGTAGGCCGACCTCGGAGTATAAGGTCGGTGACCCCTGAGGTCAAAGGTCATGACCCCCCGCAACTGTTGGTGGGGTCACAAGGTTATGCTCCCTAGGGGTCAAAGGTCACGGGGTCAAAGGTTACTGCACAAAGTATAGGAAAAAAACTTTGTGAGGTCATAACCTTTGACCCCTGGGGAGCATAACATTGTGACTTGGTCAAAAACGTCCGGGGGAGGTCATGACCTCTGACCCCAAAGGTCAAGGTCATAGGTCATTGGGGTCAGGAGTTATGGCCAGAAGTTGTCTATTTCCGACACCCCAAAATAAAGAAAAACATAAGAAATTCTAAAATGGTCTGAAACGTGTAAAAAACATATAAGTCAATATGGGTCAAATATAAGGGAATGGGTTAGTACTTTGTCGTTTTTTCAAGTGTGTGTATGCGTTAACGCATAGTGCAAGGGCTTGTGCACAAACCCTATGGCAATTCGACTTTGTACACATATCAATGGAAGTACTGGATGCACGCCAGTATTTGGGATGTATTAGAGCATTAGGGACGAGTTGGCACCCTGGTCCCGAGTTATTCGTTTTGGGCGGTCTGCAGGACCGTACCTAGGCACGGATACCCAGTTTTTGACCCTATTTGACCCTATAATAGTGTTATTGGACCGTTAAAAGACTACCCTAACCCCTTTTAACCTGATTCGACCGTATTTACCCTATTCGAGACGGTGTTACACTATTTCGGGCTATTTTACCCTACATCACAGTGTATAACCCTACCCCTATAGCTAATCCCTCTATTTCCGACACCCTAGACCTACCCCTATGTAATATCCGTCTATTTGCGACAGCTAGCCCCATCCCTATGCCAAATCCCTCTATTTCCGACATCCTAGCCCTAACTCTATGGAATATCCGTCTATTTCCGACACCCAAAATAAAGAAAAACATAATAAAATTCAAAAATATCAGGAAAAACATAAGAAATTCATAAAAGAAAGAAAAACTAACCCAAACCCTAATATCAAAGAAAAACATAAGAACCCTAAGAACAAAGAAAAACATTAGAAATAGGGTTTGATGTAGTTTTAGGGATTAGGGTTAGGGTTAGGGGTTAGGGTTAGGGTTAGGGTTAGGTTAGGGTTAGGGTTAGGGTTAGGGTTAGGGTTAGGGTTAGGGGTTAGGGTTAGGGTTAGGGTTAGGGTTAGGGTTAGGGTTAGAGTTAAGGGATCTTCTGTAGGCCGGGTTAGGGTTAGGGTTAGGGTTAGGGTTAGGGTTAGGGTTAGGGTTAGGGTTAGGGTTAGGGTTAGGGTTAGGGTTAGGGGTTAGGGTTAGGGTTAGGGTTAGGGTTAGGGTTAGGGTTAGGGTTAGGGTTAGGGTTAGGGTTAGGGTTAGGGGTTAGGGTTAGGGTTAGGGTTAGGGTTAGGGTTAGGGTTAGGGTTAGGGTTAGGGTTAGGGTTAGGGTTAGGGTTAGGGTTAGGGTTAGGGTTAGGGTTAGGGTTAGGGTTAGGGTTAGGGTTAGGGTTAGGGTTAGGGTTAGGGTTAGGGTTAGGGTTAGGGTTAGGGTTAGGGTTAGGGTTAGGGTTAGGGTTAGGGTTAGGGTTAGGGTTAGGGTTAGGGGTTAGGGTTAGGGTTAGGGTTAGGGTTAGGGTTAGGGTTAGGGTTAGGGTTAGGGTTAGGGTTAGGGTTAGGGTTAGGGTTAGGGTTAGGGTTAGGGTTAGGGTTAGGGTTAGGGTTAGGGTTAGGGTTAGGGTTAGGGTTAGGGTTAGGGTTAGGGTTAGGGTTAGGGTTAGGGTTAGGGTTAGGGTTAGGGTTAGGGTTAGGGTTAGGGTTAGGGTTAGGGTTAGGGTTAGGGTTAGGGTTAGGGTTAGGGTTAGGGTTAGGGTTAGGGTTAGGGTTAGGGTTAGGGTTAGGGTTAGGGTTAGGGTTAGGGTTAGGGTTAGGGTTAGGGTTAGGGTTAGGGTTAGGGTTAGGGTTAGGGTTAGGGTTAGGGTTAGGGTTAGGGTTAGGGTTAGGGTTAGGGTTAGGGTTAGGGTTAGGGTTAGGGTTAGGGTTAGGGTTAGGGTTAGGGTTAGGGTTAGGGTTAGGGTTAGGGTTAGGGTTAGGGGTTAGGGTTAGGGTTAGGGTTAGGGTTAGGGTTAGGGTTAGGGTTAGGGTTAGGGTTAGGGTTAGGGTTAGGGTTAGGGTTAGGGTTAGGGTTAGGGTTAGGGTTAGGGTTAGGGTTAGGGTTAGGGTTAGGGTTAGGGTTAGGGTTAGGGTTAGGGTTAGGGTTAGGGTTAGGGTT